TTTTCTTGTTTCCTTCTTTTATGTAACAATTCACTATTCAAAATCATTAAATTTTTTAAGGTTATTTTTTTTTTACTCTTTCCCGACTGTTAAGCTTTCACATAGTGGATTTAATATTATATTAACGTAATCAAAGTTTGTACCACTCGTATAGAATCTGACTGTGGCTATTTTTGTGCACCTTTTCGGTTAAAAGTAGTTTTAAACTCATCTGCATTTTATCTTCACTGAAATTACATCTGATTTATCCCTTAAAGCTACAAAAATTTGGATTTTTCACTCATTAAAAGGTTCACTCTTTCCGTCCCGTTTGGACCGTTTTTGAACACAACTTTGCGGCTTATCTGGGCTTAGGAAAAGCCAGCTGTTATTGGCGCCCGAGGCAACGCCATATATTCCGAAGTTTGTCGCCATATTAGGAAACTGGAAGGGACAGATTAGAAAATAAGTGAGCCAATAAGTATTCACTTGCTTTCTAAATTATGTCTTGCAGAAAATATTTCCGAAAACTTTTTGAATTCGTGTGAAACGTACAGTTTCAAGTTGTAAAGCGCCTATGGATCATATAAGCTGAAAATGTTATATGTTATGATATTTCGCAACGGTCTCCCAACTGGTTTAAAGAAGTTATGAATGTTATAATTTGGAGTTATTATATATGAAATATGAGCCCTTTAATTTTTAATTATTATACCATAAACTTATAGTTACATTATCTTTGATTGTAAACTTTATAATGGCCAGTTATGATTCCAAAATGGTTTTGTTGAGTGAATTACTTCAACTTCTTTAACCAACATTGGATATAGTTAGAGAAATTAGCCATTTTATTTCATTTCTAAGTTGAATTAGGGTAGGTCTTTCTTTATTTCTCTAATTGATGGCGGGTCTTTGGCCTAATGATGCAAAAACCAGTTTTAGTATTGTTAACAGAGCATAAAACTTCAATGATAATAAAATAAATCGATTTATAAATACAATAATATTGAATTTGGCTGGAATTTATGCAAATTTCTGAACGAATGTATCTTCTTGTTCTTTTAATTTGCAATATAAATCTATTTCCATCCAGAATTCCATCTCTCATCTGTTTTTAATTAATTTTTGTATAAATCAATTTGATTCTTAAGCTTCATGTGCGTGTACCTCTTAATATTATAAGCTTTGAAATATAAAGAATGACCCCAGGGGTCTTACAAGTTTTATTAGACTTACAAATTTTGTATTAAAAAATTATATTTGAAATTAGATATCAACTAGATAAATATGTATTATTGTATTATTATTTAATAGCAAACATTTCAACGAAAGTTATATTGACCTTAAGCACATATAAAATATATAAATAAATGCAAATATTTATCCAGCTTTAAGTAAGAAAGGGGTATCCTTTAGTCGGAAATTTGAAAAAAGAGTTCCTGTTTTGCTTTTTATTCCGCGTTGCTTTGTGATTTGGTTTCGATTTAATTTTGCCCTGTTTTCCGCCCAAGGATGCTTCCTAGGAGCACAAAAATGGATTTTGCGATGTAATGTGTTTGCATGTTTGCTTGCGGTTCCTTTGTGTTTTTCATGCAAATGAACCAAATACGAAACATATTGCTTTCATTGATTTGGTTTGGTCGCTTATTTTATTGCCTTTGTTTTAGTCCTTTTACTGTAAAAAAGAATTCCGACCTAATGGTGTTCTTTTAAGGCGTGTTTAATGAGAACGCGACTCAATAAGTAATTATTTCTGTATTTAGAGTGTTCGACTAACAGTCCGAGTGAAAACTCAATGGACTTCTGAAATGGAAAAGTTTTCATTTACTTAAATTTCTCTCGGCTTTCAGCGACTCTTCCTACCGAATCGAAACTTTGTTAATTAACCATGGACAATTTGAGCGCGATGCAGGCAAAAATAATAATAAATGAAGGGAGAACAATGAGCAAACAAACAGGCAAAATGTCTTGGAATGAGGGTCTTATTGAGTTCTTATTAAGTTTCACTAATAATAAATTGTTTAATGAAGAAATACACAGTAAAACTCTACCTAAGAGAGATTTCAATTCCAGTAAAATAAGTACCAGTATATATTATATATTCCACACATTTGGTAAACGAAATTTAACGAATCGGCGTGATTGGTTGTCTTTGCACACGTCCATGTCCTTTCCAGCCATGCTTCAATCAACTTATATTTATGAAAACTCCTTTCAAATGGTGGCTAAAAATACCCATTTAAACACAAATTTTTAAATGCGGTAATTTAGATTTTAATAAGCCTTTGTAGGCCTTAAGACTAGTCTTCCATTTTGATAAGTAGGACATTAGTTAGGACTTATGTCTCATGATTTTAACATTTCATTTGGTTTTTATTTTAAATCCCAAAATAATTATTATCTGAAGGAATTTGCCCATATCGTTTTTTTGCGCCAACTATTGTTAAGCTAGATTTTTCCTAAAAGATTCCCTGATTGCCTTGTCGATTACATCTATGTAAATTCCCATTTTCGCACTAAACTTAGGCGGCATAGTCAGTGAATAGCCTGCAGGTCGAAGCCAATGACAGTGAGATAAAACCAGACCTGAAAATAATCGCTGTAAGCAAGCAATTGCTTTTAATGCCGATGACTGGGTAGCTCGAGATACTTTGTCTTTGTTGCCTACTTTAAGGCCATTTAACCAACAGGCAGTTTGGTTAATGGGGCGTATGAGTAATGTGCAGTGCTTAGAATGATGAAATGTAAGCCCTTGGCAATGTAGCACTGTATCTATTTTAGCCTTAAAAAGTGAAAAGTACGAGTATCCAAACTTTTTTATTAAATTCACCCGCGCACGTTGCCAAGCTTGTTCCCGTTTGAGCGTCTTCCTCAATGCCAGTTTGCTTATTAAATAAATATTTGACATAACTCTGGAAGTATTCCTGGTTGCACAAACTCGGGAAAAAGTTATTCTATTTTTGATGTTTATGGCTTTCTCCTTTGGCTTTAATAAGAACATCACTCCTACTGTCAATATTTCCGAATATTTATACTGCCCAATTAAGCTCTAAAACGTGAGTGGATCATAAAAAATGTGACATGCAGGAGAACTAGTTGTCAGATTTAGAAATTTAAGTAAAAAGAAAGAAAATGTTTGCCTTTAATTTGGAATTGCGCTATTTATATTCGAGGACAGGCATCCTCCCTTTTGACACTTGGGCCCTCGTAACTCTAGCAAACATCTGTCCGGCATTAAGCCAGCCATTTAAATAGGTCTCCACTCGGCCATTAGCTTGGTAGTTAGGTCTGACTACGAAACAAAAGCGAAGACATTTAAAACAGAAGTTGCGGTTTTCCGGCCATTTATTTGGAATTGGCAAGCAGGTTGTACTTTCAAATGGAAACTTAATTAGCTGGCTAGCAAATAAATTGGTACCCTGGCATCATATGGCGAAAATACCAAATGAATAACTTCAGCTTCCTCATCTGTGCACTGAAGACCCTTCATGGCGGGAAGTGGGGAAAAACAAGGAGTCTATTCTTACCACTACAAACTGTTTAAAACTGGTCTTTAACCAATCAAATTGTTCATGTTCGAATGATTATTGATATGAATTGAAATAAAAGAGTCAGGAATATGTATTTTTACTCCAAAGTCAAGGAAGCGGATCACCTCCTTATTACCTGCTCCATTTGCCTGCTCCATTTAGAGGTAATTACTTAACTACAGGAATAAACAGCTTACACCTTAAACCTGATAGTTCTACGCAATGAATATTTTGTATTTTAAAAGTAACTGCGAATGGTAAAGTATAATACATCCACCAAGTTTCGAACTGCAATCTAATATATGTACAAGTTTCTCGATGTTTTTATGGCCTCATGAGGCCAGAAGCTGCTGCATCGAACGTGCAACCAAGCAGGAGCAAAAGTTAAAGGAATTCTAGGGGTAAAATTCTGAGTAAATAAAAAAAGGAAGGCACGTAAAGGTGATGTGCACGATGAAGCGGATATGTTTCTGAGCCCGATTCGATCAGGTATCTAAACATTCAATAGACCTCCCCGCCCACCGTGATCCTACAACAGTGGCCAACAAGAAATTTCTACCACCTGTCAGTAGCCATTTTTCAGAGGGCCCAGTCAGCGATTCGGCTAAATCTGTGTGCGCCATTAAATACATTTGTAAGGCAACAAGAATATGTTTACTTTCTTAGGTGTGGCCATAATGTAGGATTCAAAACACGTCCCTGACATGGATGTTCTTATTCATGTATTTTTGTTGACACACTGAGTTTCCTCCGGCCACTTTTATAGGGAAACCCATGCACGTATCAATAATTTAACTTAAAATATAAAATAGGAACGCAATAAGTTAAGGAAGTAGAAGCTTCATAAAATGGAATTTGGGTTACTCCGAGGTTAATTCATTGCAATAGCTCAATCCCAAGATATTCGTGCTGAAGACTTTATTTTACTTATTGCAGCTCTACTTTGTCCCTTTTTTGGAACTCATTGTAAGTTACTTCCTTCTTATCATTCATAGGAATAAGCATTAAAGTTTAGGATTTAGTATTTAGAACACCGGTGCTTAGATAGTTAAAGAATTTTAGAGAAAGGCCTAATGATTTACGAACTGCTCCAATGACTGTTTCATGGAAGACTCCTTGGGTAACAACTAGAGCTGGTTTTTGTGCTCAGTTCCTGGCTTCTGTGGGCATATAATTCATTCATAAAATACGCACGATTCGGGAGGAGAGCGACTCGCGCCAGCGTCACGTAGCGAATGTTGACAGCCAAGGAGCCAAAGCACGTGGCCAACTTCTCACACCCTCGCAGAGCAGCCGAAGCAGCAGCAGCCATTTCCACACCGAATTTCCCAAACAATTCAGGAAAATTTCCCACTGTTTGGCGCGAGAGAGCGTTTCGCAACTCGGAGCGGGAAACTGAGAGAGCGGACTGTGATGATGCCGACTGCGAAGTCGCTGCTGCTGTTTTCCACTTGCTTTTCTGACTCAATGGACCAGTTTGGAAAACCCTCACAATCAGTTTGTTTTGAAATTTCGCCGTGAAACGTTCGCATTCAGAGCGTTCTCCGAGACTACCATAAATACTCAAGTCCACTAACCATTTTCCATATAATGAAAAACCATCGGATGTGAAACTGAAAAACTCAAGCTGACACGGGATAAGCTAATCCATTCTCAACGGATAAATAAAACAAATAAATATGAGAAATATGTGAAGTGTTAATAATTTTTGCTATTCAACAACAATTTTCAGCTGCAGTTTCTCCCTGAAAAAATTAAGCAAAAAAGAAAAGAAAAGAAAAACAGATGAACAAATAATGAAAAAATACATTCGCAGCTGCAAGACGATTGCATTTCGCGATCTTGGGTTAAAGTTATTATTGGAAAAGCAGTAAAATCGTACATGCAGTTGGAGCTTATTAGAAGTTTAAAATGTGATATATTGAGAAATTGCACAGCATGTGAATATAAAAATAGAGGAAAGCCAAGAAAAGTTTTTGTGAATCTAATTCCCCTTTGTACCTTTCGGATTTAGTAAGCTGCGAGAGTAAGTAAAATTTCATTAATTATTACCTTAGAATAACATTGTGAATTATTTTTAAAACCCCTAAAAAACAATTTCTATTTACTTAAAACTTTTTAAGGCAAGTGCGAGAGACGAAGTCAGTTTATTTATTCAAGCTGACGGGAGAACATAAGTGACTTGGAAAGAAATCAGAGCAACGAAGGCGAATTAATGTTTTGAAAACTTAAAGAAACGATTTTCATTCATGTTGTTATAGGAGGGAATGTGCCAGCGTGCTCGTGCTGGCCATGGTTAAAGGTCTGTGTAAATAAAGTCCACCGGAAGAAAAGAGCAAGCGGAAACCATAGCAGAGCTCACTCGGGGTTTAGCGTAAAAATAAAAATGGGAAACGCATCTCTGATTACGTAATTAAGAGAACGTTTTTATAATGTTTTTCCCCGACTGGTTAGTCCCAACCGATTCGTAATGAAAAGCAAACAGCATTAAAAATAATTTTCTGGTAAATCAAGAATAATATGTATGTCCGTGGGATGCAAGGAGCAGCCGGGAAAATGAACTTAAAGTCAGATCTCCCTGTTTTCCCTTTTATCTGGGATCTAACCCCAACTCGCTCATGATTACTCACATGTCAGCAGAAAAAGAAGATTTATTACCAAGAAACCCAAGACCAAATGTTTGCCATTTCTCTTTGCTTTGGTTACCTTTTGTTTTTACCTTTTGTCCGGGTCCCTCTACCTTTTTCGATTTGGACTTTTCCGGGGTCTTTGGTTCTTTGTCGGGAAATAAAACTATTAAGCTTTTTGCCACCGCTGCTGCTGATGTGCGTAAACTTTTAATGAGACATAAAGGACATGCTGGAATTATGCCGGCCCTAGGTCCAGATCCTCCCACCAGACCAGCTGTCATAAAGACGGAGACGGAGCGAAAGTCATTTCTGGCCGGTGCTTAGACAGATTCACAGAGATAAGTGGCCGACCGTAAATGTTTAGTGGACCGGGCAAACATAAACTGCCGCTGATTACCTGGCCGCAATTTTGTTGTTTGTCGCTCTTCAGCTTCTGAGGTATTTAAGCCAACTTCGGGGCCTGTCAGCAACAGGCACGAAAGTTATGACACTTTCGACTCAAGTGTTGGCCATTAACATTGCTGGGGACGGGTATTTCAGTGTTTCAGAACGGATGCCATTAGATCCAAGGGCAATGCCTAAGGCTAACCGCAAATCGGAGAGCGCCTTTGTCGCTCTTACTACGGGATAGGTTTCTCTGAATTCAAATGGATTAAGTTTTCATTTTATTTGCTAACTATTTTTTCTGCCCAATTAAAACTGCTGATTTTATTCGGTTATCCTAGGTACATTCCACATTTTCATTGAGTTCAGTTTCATGGAAAACCACAAGTGATGTACAAAAAGCATTTGATATTGATTAATAAATCTGGCCATCTCTTGTGGCAGTTGATCAGCGCACTAGTAAGTGTGCATAAAAAGACTCAATCAACACAGTCAATATTTTGTTGGGGCATCGAATTGTTTAAATATTTTGACCACTCCATCATTGTGTTCATGCTTAGCTTGGCGTGCGGCAACAAAAATAATTAAATCCAGCAAAAGTATTAGCATTAGCATTTTCCCCTCTAGGGAGCAGATACCATTTTCTATTTACTAGCTCATACAGATTTATGGATTTTGTACAGGCCAAGCAGAAAATTTCGAAACGAATTCTGTCCTGCACTCATTTCACATTCAGTCTGTGTTGTCTTTCTTTTGCGATTTAAGTTGACCTTGTTGGATATGCTGATTGAATGGTTTTTAAATTCATTAAAGACATGTTTTAGGTATATCTCAGATTGGTTTTTAAAAAGTTAGTAAAACTTTTCTCGCTTCATACAGAAATTTTTAAGAAGAGCAGCCAAGATAATCATAAAATCGAGACGATTTCATTTATACCCTCTTGAAAATTTGTTTAAAGTAAACTTGTGTTTAGTTAGCGATTCCGAAATGCCAAGAACAACAAATTCCCGGTCCTCTGCCGTTCATTCGATCGATGAGCTGACGCCCGTAATTAATCGTTCTGCCCGTTGACTTTGAGCAATTGTTGAAACATTCTTATGCCAAACGGGCATTTGAGAAATGCCTCCCTCCCTTCTGGCATATCATTTGATTGGCTGCTGTGTAAATTGCTCACGAGCCATCGGGTATCAGCAATCGACAATCAATAAATATTATTCAGTTAGTGCGACCTCTCGGCAGTTTCCCATGATTTGTCATTTTCCCGAACGCATTTATCCAGCACCGTTTTGCATACATTTAAATTCATTTCCCATTACAATTGCCGTGCTTCCGCTTGACCATCACAAATTTATTTAATTTGAACTTTTTTCCCGCGTTTTTCGTCGGATCTGTGCAAATATGCAAAATGATTGACAGCACAATTAAGACGCCGCGAACGAGTCTTGTTGAGGTGAGGAGGCGGCAACCAGAAGCCGAAGCTGCCACCTTATATGGTTGCCAAAGTTACATTTTCTTTCTTATTTAACATAAAAAACAAAGCGCGTCGCAGAACATGTGTTACGCTAGACAAAAGGCGCTAATTTATGGCTGTAACAAGAGCTAACTGAGGTGATATGCAAGCAACATAGTCGCCTTACATTCGAGAAATGTCCATCTTGGCCGATTGGTTTGCTTTTAACATTCACCGTATTCTAAGATTGTGGCAAATCTTTGACTAAGTTAAAAGTCTTCAATCCTTTTTTAAGATCTTCGATTATGATCGAGATTATAACAGCAAAATCGTAACATTCTCAGACAGAATGTGTAAAATGCCTTCGCTTTTGTGGTCAAATGTATCAAATTATCCGTCACTCCACAACGGAGCTCTAAATAACAACTGAAAGATCCAGGAGAACTCTAAGTGAACATTCAGAAATGGGTGCCAGCAACAGCAAGCCGCACACGGTGCAGATGGCAAATCCGAAGCCGCTTGAGATCACTCGGGATGTGTTCGAAAGAATCGACCAGGCCTCCGCCAGGGGTACCTCCACTTGCGAGAAATGCAGGCAGAGCCCCAAAATGGAATCAGGTTCCGATAGTCCCACTACCATGGAACACAAGCCTAGCGAAATGCATGATGTGCGTGCAGTTTCAGTGGCCAAGTCCTGGAAAAGGCTCTCCTTTGAGGTCGAGAAAAGGGAGTTTGGAAAATCTTTGAAGCGGACTCAAGAGTTGTTTGGCAAGCCTGTCAAATGGGCGAAGGACTGCGAGGGCGAGATCGATAAGTTCGAGGAGGAACTGATTCACTGCTACCAACGATATCCCAACGAGCCGCTGCAGTGCTCTAATTTGGCAAGACAGTACCACCGGTTTGTCTTCTCCAAGCATTACGCTGCAATAACCAAAGCAAAGCCGGGTTCCGATGGCTCCCCGCCCAGGAGATAACCACCTAAGGATGTCCTTTTTTGCTGTCAGCCGTGATCCCAAAATGTCTATTTCCTTATCCATTCATTATAATAGTGTAGTGTTTTCAATTAAATACAATCGACGGAATTTAAAACGAAATATAATTGTGTTCGCCCCTCAACCCCAATTCAGCACAAATTAGTTTACCGAACATTTTGTTTGGCTTTTTGTTCTTTTATTAGCCTTGGCTGATTGCCAGCAAACAAGAGTCGTCAAACAAATGAATGACAACATGAAAAGCACGAAAGCCAGAAAGTGAAACATGCATAAATAAAAACAAACACACTCCCCATGCCCTTCACCCGCACACACGGCCATCCTCCCCGAGAGGTTTGTTCGTGGATAACTACTCTGCACCATGAGGCGTATGTGCGATATGCCGTTCACAGCTTTTCATACCAGGACTGCTTGCCATTATGAACGCATCGCAGGTGAAAATGCCCTGCTAAGTGAGTGGCCAAAGTCGGAGTGCTGTACCGGGTGGTTCTGGGAAAGGTGGGTCCTTAAAGACAGAGAAAAACCTACACAAGACCCACACGGTCTCGGCGCTCAACGACTGCCTTGAACTACTTTGCACCACAATGTCTAGCCCAATGTGTGTGCATTAGTATAGCTTACTCTTGCCATCCAAAAATGCCGCGGCTTAGGGCTGTGTGCAGCTTAGAGTTTTACGCTCGCGGTGCTCAGGGAACTTTATGAGCAGACAAACATTAGACGATATTGGCTCTGAAAGAAAGCTAATTTTTATGTACCTCATTAAAAATTAATACCACTTCAAGCTTTATTTAGTTTTATTCGATTATAAAAGTGTTCATTTGAGTTTCCTTTTAAATCAAGTGCGCTCCGGTGAAAACAGAAAGACTCTTATTTAGGTATTTTATACTAATTCAGCAGTTAATTTTCACGAGATCTTAAGATATCTTCTTGATCAGGAACTCTAGTTTCTTTGCTAAGTTTAAGTTGTTTTTTTGCGTTTGTTCAGGAAGTTCTAGATAATTCAGATGTATTTGAAACTTTCCTTAATGAGATTAAATACATGATGAATATTTTAAAAGTCTAACCATTTCCATAGTTTTTCAAAGTGTGCCTGATTTTTAGTTGCAAATAGCATTCTGTAGCCGGGAAACATCCCACATGCAATGGAAAGCTGTAAATCACACTTTTGATTTTTATTTCTGGCTCTGCTAACGTGGTAGCGCGGTCTCCTGTACTCTGCCATAAATCTACAGAACTAATGTGCTCACAGGAAGCACATCCAGAGGAAGAAAACTTGCCAAATGCCAGAAGTTGTTGTTTCCCTGAGAAATTGGATTTTCAACATTGAGTTAGTCTCGCACCCAAAGTCAACAGAGAGTTTTCGCAATTATTTATGCAAATGCAATCCAAGTGAAGAGCCAAGCCACCTACCACATGGAAACCCATTACATATATCTCAGATACATTCGACCGAAAAACACCTCCCTTCTCCACAGCTAAGTGGCTGCGTGGTCAAGTGCAGTAGTAATTAGCGGCCAGCGCTAAAATCGTTGGCGATAACTGATTGAGCTTTTCGATAAACTGGTCGGCTAATCAATGCAATTTTTATGTTTAGTTTAGATTGACCCAGAAAGAACGCTGGAGTCGAAGGTGTAAGCTTTAAGATTTCCTCAAAAATGACTCAAAAATGGTCAAATATGTGAGTCATTTTCTCAGCACTTATGAGAGACTTATGGAAGAAATCGAATTTAAATATAAATTTAATTATTTTTAATACTTTATGCTTACCTAAAGCTGAACTTTATTCTGTTATTCTGACAGTTCAATGCACGTTGCACATTTTGTACTTGCTCTATCTGCAGCCTATTTGTCTCGGCGTTGCCTTCATATGTTTTTCTGTGCAATGTGCCCCGAATATTTGTATCTGAACTTAGAAAGACTTGGTTCATTTACATTTCGGGCCAGTCAGATTAATGACCGGGCATATATCTCCCTCTTCATATTTATTAAGGGGGCAGAAAGGCCGTATTCTTCGTGGCTCCATATCTAATGGCTGGCATCGCCGTTAAAGCGTGCGAGTTATTAGAAAAGTGCGTGAGAGGCGGCCTGGCCTAGTCACAAAAAATGCCCCAATACCGCAAAAATGTAATAAACGAACTTTTATTGATGCGCACTTCCGCAAACAACCGCAGAAAGCCAGGCGACAGCAGCAGCTATGAATTCAAGCGAGAAACCAGAAACTTATTGCACTTCCACAGCCGCACTGAAAACACTCTTTCAATTAAATTCAAAAAATATTTAATATATCTTTGCGAGTACATTAAATGCAGAATGCCTGCTCTTTCGTCTATACATTCCTGTAGTTCTCCTACGATATATGATATATATGATATATATATCAAGGTTTAGTTTGTTTTCATCGAAATTGATCATAGTTCCACAGTCGAATAGTTGTAAATAGCTCAGAAATAATCCTTTTTTGGAAACATACCCCATGAGAGCAATTTGCACATAAACACTTTGGCCATTTCTCTTCATTAACTGAGAGAAAGGCGAGAACAGTTTATAAACCTACACCGGGAGAAATGAACCAAGAATATTATTTAATTGGAATGCTTCAATATTTTATATATTGTATTTTGGCTCAAAAGTGTTGTGTAATTCAAAATGAAAATGAATTTGGATTAATAATGTTTGGAAATATTTTTATATAAATTAAAAATGTATTAAAGAAATCAATTCTGCCATTACTTTTCTTTTATTTATATTTTTTGCGGTAAGAATGGGTTGAGAGAGAACGACCACGAAGCAACCGCCTAATGAACTCCTTTTGCGGCACTTTGGTTGGCCACTTGAAGGGCCGACCCAAAGTAATTGATGATGAGGAATGGGAGAAGGTGACGCCTTTAACAAATCGCCAAACGGAGGAGATCTGCCAATTAGGTCTTGTCTGCAACAGCAGCTGCTCTTGTTAGTAATACGCAAGGATCATATTGTTCAGAGATCGGGTTTTCTATTATGACATCAGAGCTGAATGGTAAACTATACGATACGGCTGCTTGAATACTAGTATAAGCGACCAGTCGGACAGTAAGTAAGCTCAGCCATCAAGTGTTGGCTATGAGCGAGGTGAAACTTAAACAGTAAAAATGATAGAGGCATGATGATGGAAAAATGCAAAATGCAACGCCCCGTTAATAATTAATTGCATAATGAACCGCAAATTAAGCCACACACGAGTGATGACAGCAGCAACCGCAGCAGCCATGGATAATAGCACTGGCAGAGCGAGAAACTTTGTTAGCACAGTTGGCTACTCACCGGGCAAATAAATAGGATAGATAAGTCGTCAGTCACAGATCAATTGGATCAGATCTAGAGTTCTATTTCACTTTTAATCGATACTTTGCACACCACTCGACCGATAACTATTGCATTTCAGGCATACATGTATTACCTTTCCTAGTTTTTCAATGTTGTTTTTCTCACCGGCTTTGTTGCTCTTTTTATTGCAATCATGGACCACCAAAGTTGGCCGCTCAAACAGTTTTCCAATACATTTTCCCCTACTCAAATTTTACATTTTTATTCCTAGGTATTGTGCTTTATATTCAATTACCCAAAGAAAGTTAAACAAAAAACTAGTTTTCAAATATTCGATTTTGTTGTATAGTTATCCCTTTGAACTAGGCAAATTGACATGGTAGTACTGATTCTTGTTCAGCTTCTTTTATTGTTTCTCGCTGTAGATCTATCTAAAATGCAAGAACAAGACCATTTTTCCAACCGTTTAAGTTTGTACTGCAGTATTGTCAATGGCGCAAGCTGAAACTTCAACTTTTCCGAGAGCCACAGAAGAACATCATTATTCTTACCTCCCACAACATCAACAAACAGAGACTTTAATTATGGCACTCAGTTTGCTCTCTGTTGCAAAACATGTCTTCTCGGTCTCGCCCAGCAACATTCAGCACACCATCACGACAACAGAGGCGTTGGGTGTGATTAAAGTGACTCCTCCCTGCAGTGACAGGCCTCGACTTTAAATTGCAGCGACATCATTAAAGCCGCTCGTTACGAGGATATACATATGAGGATGGCGCTGCAGCCACGTCGCCACTCAAATTAAGTCGGCAAAGTGCACTGTCAAAGCGCATTTCATATGCATAAGGGACTTCCACACCCGTCACCTTGCTGTGTTTGTCACAGCTCGTGTGTGGTTGGCCCACTTTCGGGGTCTTCTAGGGCTAGCGTTGCTCAAGCGACAATTCCCATCGAATAATAACGCTTTACAGGAGCATTCAGGTTATACACGACAGCTTTTGGGCTGTAGAATGCATGATAATGCTGCACTAAGCTCGAATTCCCATAGCTCCATGTCTTTGTAAGCCTCAAAAGAAAAAAAACACAAGAATGAAACATTTGAATTTACTAGAAAATACAAAATTCACATTATTTTCAGTGAGATAAATTAATAGATTTCAAATCGTAACCTAATTACTTGCCATCTGATTTATTTTTAATGATCTCAGAAGAAAATCGTAGACATCCCGGTTTCTTTACCATGCTTAATTTTCAATGCTCGGCTCATTGGAAATATTATCATTGATCAGCTTAACAACTATCTTAAAGTGATATGTCACACATAAAAGAGCTGCAAGACCTTCGGCTTCCGCCGATTTAACACATAAATGCGATTTCTAATATCTATTGAAGTCTTTATTAGATCTGAGCATTATTTAAGAAGTTACATACATGCTTTAGTTCCATATTCTAACAAAAGATGGCTGTATAAAAAAAGTATTACAAAGCCAAGATTTACTTAGTCCTCGTCGTATTTGATGAACTTCAAGATTATTCGTTTGACAGCAGAATGAAAGAAGGCTCATAAAGTTGTAAGTAAAAAAGAGCCACCGTACAAAATGTAAAATTGGATTGAATTATACGTAAAGCATTTTTGAACCTTTTACACATTATTTATTAAAATTCTTCTAAGCCCAACCTTATCCTTGATCTACCTTTATTTCGTGAGATCATCTTACTTCGGATCCTAAAATCATAACCAATCAGCATGGCTATATAAATAAATATAAAACACTTTATTTTCAAAAATTCAAAAATTAAAGCAAACGTTTTTTTTTAATTATTAAAAAAAATGTCAAAATAAAACAGCTTTTAGTAGTTTGTTATCATCGACAACCTACAATACCTTGCTGATGACAAAAAACATTAGCTGGTAATTTGTTAACATGAATCGGGACCAAAATTTAAGTGCATTCCTTGTATGGCATAAAGTGGACAAAATGAATCTGCCTACCGCAGAGCTTGCATAATTCTTGTGGGTCTGCAGCATTTTTAATTAACTTTTCACCATGTGTGTGTATGGGCGACAACAAATTTGTGCAGCCGCCAATGGAAACAGAAAATATCCAAACTAAAAAAGGAAAATGGGAACCACATTTTAGAAGCACGCGGTTGACGGCTGAATTTGGCACTGACACAAGCACAAAAGCCGCATTCAAGGCTGTTGCGGGGGCAGGGGATTGGAAAGGGGAAGGGGAGTGGCCGGATGCTGGGCAGAAGGTCAAAGGCGGACCCATGAGCGTGGGACCCTTTTTTGCCGCGCCATTTGAAGCGAATTCAAATCGAGTCGCCAGTCCTTGTTGACACTGCCATCATCTGCCGTCATGGCATCAACGCTATCGACAGCGACATCATCATCCTCTCCATCTGATGCATCCCATCGAGCTGAACTCTTCAGCTGTCATCTATTGACAGGAGCACACAAACATATTGCAAAATATGGCAGCCATGTCCTCCGTTCTGTACGTGCCTCTAATGAAGATTTTGTTCTAGCCATTTCGTGGTGCGCTTCAGCTGAAAACCTCAAGTTGTTAGTTGGTTAAATTTTTTATTAATTATTGGAATTATAAAACATTATTTTAATCATCAACAACACAGTGTTTTAATATTTGGGATATACTGAGAACTTCAGAGGAATACGGCTAAGCCAAGAAACTAATTTGATTTAAGTTACAAACAAAGATTGAATGTAAAAGGATTAAGAATTTGTACTACTTTTCAACGAATTCATTCGCAAACTTCACAAATTAGACTCTTTTTCATATGGTGCACACATTGTCAAAACTAAGTGAAATGAACAGATATTATATTTCTCTATTTAATCGTGCCATCGTGCGAAATGAAAAAACTAACCCCAATTAGGAAACCAAAACATATTAAACAAGAGGAAACGCTATAGTCGAGTGCCGCGACTATAAGATACCCGTTACTGTTTTACACAATTTTAAAATATTAATTTTGCTAGTGGAAATTCACAAGGCGCCACCTATTGTCAGAGGAAGTATGTTGAGTATGCTTATAGTGACGTCACTGCCCATGTGGAGCCTTATAACCTTAATTTCTTCATAAATAGCGAAATAATGTTCCGATTTGAAAAATCTTTTGTAAATCGATAGCTATTAACAGAAATAAGTTACAAAAGGTCAAACGAAGGCATTCATAATAATATTATAGACTCCACAGTTTTCCGCCGTTTGTGGGCGTTAGAGTGGGCGTGGCCGGAAGCAACTTCGTGGCAAGTTGCAGAGGCATCTCTTAAATACGTGTTCCTAAGTAAAATTGTGTAGCTTTTATAGTTTTCGAGATTTTTGCATTTTTGGTTTTTCGGGTTTTGTGGGCGTTAGAGTGGGCGTGGCATGATCGGAAAAAACAATTCGCATTGGGAGCATCATAGAAACATACATGCTTGATCCGAACTTTCTATCTCTTATAGTTACCGAGATATCAGCTTTTATAGAAAATCCGAAAACGGTCTTTTGAGCCTTGTGGGCGTATGGGTGGGTGTGGCCGGATAGTAGTACCACTATAAGATGCGCGGTCATCTAAAGATTATACTTTCTGAAATTCAACTTTCTATCTGCAATAGTTCCTGAGATTTCAGCAATTTCAGTTTTTTGCGATTTGTGGGCGTTAGAGTGGGCGTGGCAGGATGCTGTAATAAACTTGCGCTGTCCCGGGACCTCAAGAATCTTCATGCTTAATCTCAGCTTTGTATCTGCTATAGTTCCTGAGATCTCAGCGTTCATACGGACGGACGGACGGACGGACGGACGGACGGACGGACGGACAGACGGACATGGCTCAATCGACTTCGCTATTGATCCTGATCAAGAATATATATACTTTATAGGGTCGCAAAAGCTTCCTTCTATCTGTTACATACTTTTCAACGAATCTAGTATACCCTTTTACTCTACGAGTAACGGGTATAAAAATAAAAGGAAATTCCCAAATGATTTCGCCCCTGTCAGATACTGATGTTGTTTTACAGGTTTGAATGATACTTTTTGTATGTAAAAACATTTAGGGACTAACATTGGGGACTAATCTCTGAAGTGGCCTGAAAATAGTGGAAATGTTAACAAATTCCCTGAGCCTAAACATAGACTTAATGAATTGTAAATGGCCAGCTAATGTTTTCGTTTTTTGTTCCAGGCAATTACTTTGCACTCAACAACAGCGACTTCTGCGAGTTGTTGTTGTCGTGGAGGAAGCCTCACAGCTTTAGAATGAAATGGAGATGCAAAGCTACTCTGGTCATGGACCAACGACAGATACAGCAACAGAAACAGCAACTGCAACAGCAGCAGACACAGCAGCAACATTCACACAGCGACACTTCAAATGTCGACTGGAAGAGGCGGCTTGGCCTGAGGTCTGGCAGCCGTTTATTGGCTGCGAAAGCAGTAACACAAGCGACAGCAGCAGCATCAACCACATCCTGCCCACCAGCAACATCCTCATCAACGGCAGCAGCCCCAATAACACATTCCAGTGTGCCCGGCAAACATTCGATAAAGCGGAGCAGACGGCATCCTACAGATGTGACTGGGAGAGTGCATTGTCTGATAGCTGCACGTTGAGGCTGAAGGCGCGGCTCTTGCAAGTGCCGTACGAGGCGTATGAGCAATTCCGACTGGCAATCACAGGGGCCCTCAGTGATAATACGAGTGATACACTTAATGATAGTTCGAGCTGTGAGGATGGAGAGGATGTATTGCAGTGCGAGCTAGGGCTAGCCCAGGAACGATTTCTCTGCCATTTGCAGCACCATCAAAGGCAGCCATTTCGGGAGCTGGAGAGCCTGGGGGAGCCCCTTTCGAACGACAGCCTCCTGGAGGGCTATCAAATAGAGCTGGGCAGCGAACAGAACGGCCTCTGGTCCTTCCTCAACCTAAGCGAGCTGATAGACTCCGGCAACAACACCTTGGGCACCAACAGCACTCTGGACATGGTTCTGTCCAACTACACCACCCTGACCACAACAGTTGCCACCACAGCAGCCACATCGACCGAGTTGGGGGTTACGAAGAGCTTTCTGGACTACAGTCCTCATGGCTACGACTGGCTGTTCCTGTTCGTGGTCTTCTTCATCTTTGCGGGGGGTCTTGGCAACATCCTTGTTTGCCTGGCCGTAGCTTTGGACCGAAAGCTGCAGAATGTCACCAACTACTTCCTATTTTCCCTGGCCATAGCCGATCTCCTGGTCAGCCTGTTCGTGATGCCCATGGGTGCCATACCAGCTTTTCTAGGTAAGTGCTTTTGAAGTTTAAAGCAATTATAATACATATAGTATTATGTTATAAACTTAATTAATGTTATTTTAAGTTCTACTACTACCTTCAGTTTACTTCATGTATAAGCTTGAAATAGACGATGTACGAGTATCTCCTTTAAATTCCTAAATAGCCATCTTTCCGGCTTCCTTTAGGCAAACCTTTTATCTTTCACTTGGCTTCTTCGAGTGTACTTCAGCAATCAAGTGGCAATGCAAGTCAGCGACTAATGCATTTGCACATGAATTATTTCGACGCCATTTCCTGTACCCTCCGCTTGTCTGCACCCCACTGCCACGCCCCCCCATTCGCCCGGTCCATTGTCATGAGTTGTTAGCCTCGCTGGCTGCTTCCGCTTTGGCTCAATTACACTCGCATCAAAGTGCAGTAGAGCTGCACGGAGAAAAATTTGCATTAAATTCGTTCATGTCATACCGCCCACTCGTTAAGCCAATGGAAACAATTTTTATATATCTTTGATCAGGATCAATAGCCTGGCCATATAGATGCTATGCTATGACAACCAAAACACGCTTATATACTGACCATTAGTAAAAATATTTAAGCAAGAAATGTTACCTATTTTCTCTGTGTAGAAAGACACAAAGTGGCAACAGCAACAAACTAGAATGAATAACGCGTTAATCCGCTTGTTGACGTTTCAGTAAGGATTTTATTTTCCTTTCTCGCAATAAACAAAGTTTATTGTAGTCGATCACTCTCTAAGATATATATTTTTCAGATTAAGATCAAATTTAAAAATATAGTCTCTCATTCTCTAAATAGATTTCTTGTTATCAATGTTTTTCATAGAGAAAGAGGAGAAGTACGAAATATATGCCGTTCATGACGAAGGATGTAGAAAATCTCAAAAAATGTTGTTGATTTGTGTTTGAAATAGTTAAAAATATAAATATTATTAATAGATTTGTGTGCAAGTATCTCATAATTTTATTTATTATTATACCCGTTACTCGTAGAGTAAAAGGGTATACTAGATTCGTTGAAAAGTATGTAACAGATAGAAGGAAGCTTTTGCGACCCTATAAAGTATATATATTCTTGATCAGGATCAATAGCGAAGTCGATTGAGCCATGTCCGTCTGTCCGTCCGTCCGTCCGTCCGTCCGTCCGTCCGTCCGTATGAACGCTGAGATCTCAGGAACTATAGCAGATTCAACGTTGAGATTAAGCATGAAGATTCTTGAGGTCCCGGGCCAGCGCAAGTTTATTACAGCATCCTGTCACGCCCACTCTAACGCCCACAAATCGCAAAAAACTAAAAAGTTGAATTTCAGGAAGTATAATCTTTAGATGGCAACGCATCTTATAGTGGTACTATTATCCGGCCACACCCACCCATACGCCCACAAGGCTCAAAAGACGGTTTTCGGATTTTCTAGAAAAGCTGATATCTCGGTAACTATAAGATATAGAAAGTTCGGATTAAGCATGTAGGTTTCTATGATGCTCCCAATGCGAATTGTTCTTTTCCGATCAAGCCACGCCCACTCTAACGCCCAAAAAACCCGAAAAACCAAAAATGAAAAAATCTTGAAAACTATAAGATCTACACAATTTTGCTTAAAAGCACGTATTAAGAAGATGCCTCTCCAACTTGCCACGAAGTTGCACCCAGCCACCCCCACTCTAACGCCCACAAACCGCGGAAAACTGTGCCGTCTATAATATTATTATGAATGCCTTCGTTTGACCTTGTGTAACTTATTTCTGTTAATATCTATCGATTTACCAAAGATTTTTCAAATCGGAACATTATTTCACTGTTTATAAAGAAATTAAGTTATAAGGCCTCACATGGGCAGTGACGTCACTATAAGCATACTCAACATACTTCCTCTGACAATAGGTGGCGCCTCGTTAATTTCCACTAGCAAAATAATATATTAAAATTTTGTAAAATTTAACGGGTATCTTATAGTCGCGGCACTCGACTATAGCGTTTCCTCTTGTTTTTTTATTATTTTTTTCATCTTATATTTACTGTGTTATAATTTAAACATAAATACTATACCAAAACCTGAGTTCTGACTTCTGAATAGCGATAAATATATTGTCATGGTCGTAAAAGTCTCAATGCATACTTCAAACAGAAATTTTAATGCACTCTGCGAGGATATACAAATTAAATCGCGGATTATTGCCTTCAAAGTATGCAAAAGCTGAGGTATGTTAGGCACATGACAGTGATAGAATCCCAGAATAAGGGCTGCCCCAACCTTTTGCATCCAGGCCAAAAGTAAGCTCAGCGTAGCGAAAGCAGATCAAACGTAGGCATAAATTAGGCGTGCATTAATCAGCAAGCTCGAATCTAATACCAGGAACTAAAAACAAACCCTCAGCCGTTCCCCATCATGCGAATAAATGGATTCAACACGGGCCGAAAGCACACACATATCAGCGAATGTATGTTGATATATTGCCTATTTCGCGGTTTTATTTATTTCTTAAGATTCATTAATAATGAATATTTTATCTAAATAAAATCACTAAGCGTCTTTTTTCACGATGCATTTAAAACATACATAAATTTCATATTTAACTTAAGTGGTCCTTCTAGAAATTAAGGAAAATAAATTAAAGGCACATATTACGTACTTGTCTAGTTTCGAAATGTTCTATAAGATACCCGTTAATGTTTTACACAATTTTAAAATATTCATTTTGTTAGTGGAAATTCCCAAAGCGCCATCTATTGTCGGAGAAAGCATGTTGAGTAACTGGTAGTGACGTCACTGCCCATGTGAGGCTTTATAACCTAAATTTCTTCATAAATAGCGAAATAATGTTCTGATTTGAAGGATCATTAGTAAATTGATAGAGATTGACAGAAATAAGTTATATAAGGTCAAACGAAGGCATTCGTAATAATATTATAGACGCCACAGCTTTCCGTGGCTTGTGGGCGTTAGATTGGGCGTGGCCAGATGAAAACTAGGGGCAAGTTGCAGTGGCATCTCCGTAAATACGTATTCTTAAGCACAACTTTTAAGCTCTTATAGTTCCCGAGATTTTCGCAATTTTGGTTTCGGTTTTTGTGGGCGTTAGAGTGGGCGCGGCTTGATCGGAAAAAGTCAATTCGCATTCGGTTATAGTAACCGATAAATCAGCTTTCCGACAAATGCGAACTCTTTTGAACTTGGTGGGCATAAGAGTGGGTGTGGTTAATGGTACACCATAAGATGCGCTGGCACCCCAAGATAATACAGACTTAATTTTAACGTTCTAGCTCTAATAGTTCCTGAGATTTAAGCGATTTTAGTTTTTCGTGATTCGTGGGAGTTAGAGTGGGCGTGGCGGGATGCGGAAATAAATATGGACTTCAAGAATCTTCATGCTTAATCTCAATTTTGTATCTCTTATAGTTCCTGAGATCTCAACGTTCATACGGACAGACGGGCAGACGGACATGGCTCAATCGACTTCGCTATTGATCCTGATCAAGAATATATATACTTTATAGGGTCGGAAACGATTCCTTCTACCTGTTACATACTTTTCAACGAATCTACTATACCCTTTTACTCTACGAGTAACGGGTATAAAAAGTCCCGACCATTCGATATACGTTTTGCCAACAAGTTTAAAGAACTAACAACAGGTGACGGCATGTATATTATAATGTCGGCATTTGTTTACTAACCAACATTTGTAGGCACTTTTTTATCATTCCGCTATCTTTCGGCTTTTTCCAAATGAAGCTACATCTTCATTTGGAGAAGTCTTTACTCGCTTTCCCTTGGGGTAATCTTTAACATAAGCAAACAATGTACAGAATAAAATAAATCTTCTTTTGGAAACGAAGTAAAAGCATCTTAGATCTTAAACTTGTTATGGGAACGGTCCTATTGTGTAACACGTAAGTTAACACGAATCCATTCTTAGAACGTCTATTTCACTTTTTGACTTACATAAATTTGGTATCAAGTAAATCAGTAATAATAAGTAAAGAAAGCATAATGAGCTTTTAAACATACATTTCTTTAGGCGTTTAGGAGCTGCAGGTGTTAAAAATGTTTCTTTTATATCTATTTTTACGATTAACTAGATAGCTTTCGAAGTCATAGAACCAATGCTTCAAATCTCGATCTACTTAAAACGGGAAATATGATTTCAGGATCATAAAAGTCAGATACACCAACAATGGGACCAGCGCAGTATATAGTGTCACTTTCTCGTCTTAAGCCAACCCAACTAAAACGTTCTATTTGGTACATTCACATATCTAGTTTACCTTCTGATCGGGTTATTAATTACTCGCAATGATTTCATCACAACAGCAGTTTTCGATGTTTTCTTGTTTTCTTCGCACATCCCACTGTGATCTTCCACTCTACGTGCACTGTGAGAGTGGCTGTCGTCATTTCCGTCCACTGGGATACAATTTCGCTCTGTGAATATGAAGTATTATAACTTAATAAAGCATCAATGGTTCCTGCTTAAAGAAGGCGGTAACTTATTGAAAAACGAGATAACCAAATCTAAAGCAATATATTCAGACTAGATACCTATTTTTCAAAAAGATATAATAAAGTTCAACACATATATCAAACTATCGACATTACGCTTAAAACGACTTAAAAAAAATTCTGAATAATTTTCCAGATCCCAAGAAAAAAAATTCTTCGTGGAAGTAAACGATTGTATAGTAAAAAGATTTTAACAGACAACTTAAAGTTGAACTTACTTAAAATTTACAGAAATCTTAAATTAATGTTATTAACTATTATTTAAACATTGTAACTTCAGAATCGCCATCCATTCGCTCTGTGTAGCGCGATGGGGCACTTTCTCGAGGACCTCCTTTTTGTCTTTTTGTTTTTCTGCGTTTACTTATTTCGCCGCATTTAAGGCCCATTCGCAGTCTAAGGACAGGGGCCAAGGTTTGTTCCACTTTTGTGATTTTTTGCGTGAGTGCTGGGTTGGGAACGGGTTGACGAAAACTGTAAACTAAATGTAACTAAAAGCCCTAAGTGTGGTTTTAGCTGCAGTGGTTACAATAACAAAAACAGCGGTCTGAGCCTTTGCCGACAATTAATCCGTAAATGGGGCCAGTCGGAGGTCTTTAGTTTATTTTTATAAGCGTTTCTAGTAAAGTTAAAGGGAATATAGTCTGTGTTGAAAAGTATCTAACAGGCCGAATAAATCTTTCCGACCCAATGAGGTTCATACCCATCACACTGTATTATAATGGCCATGGTCACTCCAATGCCCACAAGCCGCGAAAGTCTGACTTCCATATTTTTTTAAAACGCAATAATTTTATTCTGTGCATCTAACAAAATTATTATTAAATAGGTTAAAGTTGTTTATTAGTTAGTGTAGTAAAGGGTATCTTATAGTCGCTGCTCTCGACTAAACCGTTCCTTTCTGTTCTTAATATAAACATTGCTAACTTTTCGGTAAGGCCAGTTAGTTTTTCCTAAACCAGAGCTTTTGATTTTGTAACAAGTTCAAGGCAGATTTTCAATGCCCAACTTTAGGTATTTTATCATTTTTATTTTTTTATTGCCGACCTAATTGCCCTAAATTACTCTGAAGTAAACAACAATTTGTTTAATATTTAGAAATTAATATTGAATTTATTTAAATCAGATTGGTCCCCCCGAACTTTCCATTGAATAAATAAAGATGCCTAAGCCCCTTTTCAAACCCTTTACTATTAGTCAATGTGAGAGATCTGTTTCGTCAACAAAACCTGAATTGGCTGAAGGTATTATTTAGCTGCCATTCTGACCGCAGCTGTATTTGTCTCTGCATTCGCCACTTGAGCTTGCCTGTCACTCTATAAGGGCACCACATGGCGTATGCTTTATATTTATAACGCAGACACAACTTCCTCACACTCGACCCGCCTGTGTGCGTCAGTGACAAGCATATAAAACTAAACACGACATGATGAGCAGCCCCAATGACCCAACTCCTGTTTGGCTGCCTTTGTTTGGCGAAAAGGACCCTCACGTCTGTCCCTAGCCAAGTAGCGTGTAACAGGCCAAAACCCCCAATACCCGCCCTCGAACAGGCAACACCAAACGCATTTAAGCGCAATTTGTTCTAATTAATACTGAATTCGACTCCCGACAGGGCAGCAATTGAGTTTTTCTAGTGGCTTTCCCATTGAGAGCTTGAGCCAGATGGCATGGAGGCAGTCTATTCATGTCAAGGTGAATGGGCCAGTCAAGTGTTAAGAAATTAACGCATTAGACCGAATTAAAGAGATATATCATAAAACATTAGGGAAATCAATCAATGTATTAAATGGTATTATTCAAATTTCCATCGTTGGCAAACTAAACGCTTAGACTTAAGAAATCTGTCTTCACGTTAGACTTCTTTTTTCGCAAGCTAGTAAGGTAGATAACAGGCTACAAATTAGTAATTTATAAAGAACATTTTGATAAACGTTTACGAGTTTATTGCTTTGAAATATTCATAACCTAAACCTAAGTAACGATGATTAAACAATGAACTGACCAAACTTTTCAGGCTATTGGCCACTTGGATTTACTTGGTGCAACATTTATGTGACCTGCGATGTTCTGGCCTGCTCATCCAGCATCCTGCATATGTGCTTCATCAGTTTGGGACGCTATATGGGAATAAGGAATCCATTGGGCTCGAGGCATCGATCGACAAAGCGTTTGGCTGGTATCAAGATAGCCATAGTCTGGGTGATGGCCATGATGGTGTCTAGCTCGATAACAGTATTGGGTAAATTGAAGAAATTAAAATAATTAAAAGATATTTCAGTGTTTATTTTCGTTTTCTTAGGGCTGGTCAACGAGAAGAACATCATGCCCGAGCCCAACGTCTGTGTGATCAACAATCGCGCCTTCTTCGTGTTCGGATCTCTGGTCGCTTTCTATATCCCTATGCTGATGATGGTTACGACGTATGCTCTGACCATTCCTCTGCTCCGTAAGAAAGCTCGTTTTGCAGCCGAGCACCCGGAAAGCGAACTCTTCCGCAGGTGAATTAATAAAACAAAAAGATCTCTAAGTATTACACCAGTTACTCGTAAGTCATAGGGGAATTTTTGTTATAACTAATAGATAGAAAGAAAAAGGCTAAAAGGGTCGATATGCATTTTAATATATACATTACGGTCTATGAATATTAAAGCATAGAATGAAAAACAGGCTCTTAATAAATATGACGCACTGTATAAAATATTTCAAAGTTATGATATAGAGTAAACAGTCAACAAAATATTGTAAACTTGTGCTAACTAATGAAGAGAAAGGGGAGAAGTAATACTTAAAATGTTCCAACGGAAGTATGTTTTTGGCTCTTTGGTAAAGTATTCCTGTGAGAATGAAAAAATCACATCAGAAGTATTTAATACAATTTAATATTGTAAAAGCGCAGTGGTATAGTTTATTTCAGTTAAACACCACTTTTTAATGTACTTATGTCGAAAGTAGAAAGACGGAAAAAGTTCTAGATTGAAAGAAAATATCTTGAAGAGGAAACTAATAATCTCTTTTATGGAGATTTGATTCCCTTTTCCGTCTCGGCACACTCTCTTTGGCTGGCCACGAAATTTCCGCTTCCGACTTTGAGATTTAAATGGTTTTTCGCTTCCTCCTTTAAATACAGTAATTTTTACCACTGATTGCCTGCCAGAGTTCAATCGAAAGTCAACCAAGCAGGGCAATTAGCTTTAGCTCAATCAAGAGCCATCCCGCTCGCTCTAACAAATCTCTGCACTGAGGAATATCTGCAAGTACTACCTTTGGTCCATACTGCATAAATTTCGAGCTGAGAATTCCTAAAAATGAGTTTCGCACGTAATTGTTTTTATAAGGAGATTTACTAACAAATATTTGTTTGCTTTTGCTGAAGCAACAGGTCTAGCATACTACTTCCTTGAACATTGTTTATGAAAGTATTAGAAACTACGAATATATAAGCAAAGAATCATTTTCCCAGTGCATCCGTGAGTTTTATACAGACATATTTTTCCAGGCTGGGTGGACGCTTCACCATTCGACCGCAGCACAGTCAGCAGCAGTTGCAAATGCACAGCAGCTTTTCCAGCGGCAATAACAAATTCCTGCCAATGAGCGACAGCAATCGCAACATCAACAATGCAGGAGGAGTCGAGGAAGGAGGAGCTGACAGAGGAAGGGGGTGTGGAGCCCCCGAGCGTCCTTTGATGCAGCAGAGAACGACGAGCAGCAGGAGCATGGGTACGGTCAGTTTCCGCAATGTGGCCAACGGCAGTGGCGCAGCCGGAGGAAGTGGGTCCAGAGGGGCAGCCACTGGCCGCAGCAGCTTCCGGTTCTCTGGCGGCGGCATCCTGCGGCACTCTTCGTCACCAGCCTCGAGCTGCCACTCCACCAGCAAGTCGCATTCTAGCAGCTTCTGGCGCAAACACGGCGCCAGTCTCAACCTAATGGACAGGTGAGTGGATAACTTTTGACCCAATTACTGTAGCGATTCAATGCGATTTACGATGGGAATATTGAAGGTCTAGGTGAAACTAGGGTTAGAGTAAATTTCGCAACATAAATGTTATGACATAAAAAGCCTTATCATCATAATATAATCAGCCTTGAACATCACTAAATTTGATTTTCTTTTAGAAAATAAGTTTGGTCCGAAGTTTGTTACGGAACCGTTACCGTTGGGTAATCTGTTTCAAGATTCTTTTCGATTTGAAACTTAAGCAAAGACGCAACATTTATTGTTTTCATATAAAAGCTTATAAGAAAATGTTTTAATCAAGTGAAAATAAGTAAGGGGGACGCTGTTGTCGGGTACATCGAGTACAAGATACCCATGTAATTAGCGTTTAAAAATACATTTTCGACATAGTACAGGATTATAGCTTAGATCTTGGTTTATCTAGCTTTATCCTTATCTATAGTAACAAAGACAGTAATTTATGCAAAACCTTTTTCATGTAATAATTTTATGAAATGCAAGACTGCAAGCAAACATTTAATTTATCCATAAAACCTGACTATGTTTTTTTGAACATGTCCGATAACATAAAAATATTGTTTGCCATAACATCGTTTATCATTGATCTTATTGCTAACAGCAAAGAATAATTTTAAAAAAGCCTGATTTGATTTTGGAAAACTCTACATTTCGTATTAATGAATAAAAGAAATATAAAGTTTATTAATATTTTCTATAAAGGAAATATAAGAGTACCTTAATCCCCCTACTAATGCTATGAACAATCAATTATAATCTTCGGGCAATTAAATGCACATTCACAACAGCCGCTCAACGTGTCGTACGCGCGGCTTGAACATAAATCACTCATACGCCATGTGGTTCAGTGGGACAGAAAAAACACGCAATCACGAAGCACTTCAGCTGCTGACACTTTGTTGTTGCTGGAAAAATGCAAACAGCATAAAGTGCAGAAGGGGAAACCGCAAGAAAGGAACAAATGTCGCTTCTGACATTGTTGCCAGCAGTCCAGAGAAGCCGGAAAACCCCAAAAAAAAAATCATAAAAGCATCCGAAATAAAAGCAAAGTGCAGTCAAAGTGCCACAGAAATTTGCGGATGACTTTGCCTGCTGGTTGTCAGCAGCATTTTAGCATAACTAAAGTGAGCAGCGCGATAAGACCTTGGCTTACGGCGGGAAAAGGGTAATAAATGTCCCGATTATGCGCTCCGGCGTTTTGGCATTTTTCGTGTGACGAACAAGTCTCCGGATAAATGTATGAATTCCTAATGAGCCAACAAGAGTTCCAGATAGGACCGCCAGACCTATGGGAAATACGACAACTTTCCCTCTGGCTATCAAGAAACAAAAAAGTGCAGCCGGCAAAAGTTGTTCCTTTCCAAATTATAAGTTGGACATTTGACGCCGTCTGGGCGATCATTATTTATATATTTTTTCGCCCTCTCCCCGCGCCTGGCAAAAATTGAAAAACTTTGTATTTTATTCGCTGAGCCAGCAACAGTTTCAAAGTCTGAGCTGCTTTCTCGTTTAAATGGCGAAAGGGACGGCAAGGAAACTGCATTCGAATACGATGTCAAAGAAGTTTAATTCTGTTGCCCAAAGGTTTGTTTTGAGAGCTCGAATTACATATTAAAGAATACCTCTGTATAACATAAAAAATTAAGTAAAAGCTAAACTAACACGTTTATAACTTTGTACACTTTGCCCATTAAAAACCATTTTCTACTGATTATTACTGATCCTTATTTTGTTACAATTGGAAATCCCAAAGTCATCTACAGCAAAAAATTTCTTCTGCAATCTTATTAAGTAGGTTCAGACTCTAAGTGACATCTTCATAAAATAATTTCCTTCAGATTGCCTGGGCTTTCCTGCCCCACTAACATAACTCCAACGTAATAGGTGCCTCTGATGGCAAATTTGTTTCCATTTCCATCTGCCCGTCCGGCAAACAAAGCATTTAGCTAAATTGCCAGATCCCAGGCTCAACAAGAGTACACATGCAAACAGACTTCGACGAGAGGTCGCATACCCCAAGCAAGTGAAATTCATTACATTTGGCTCCTGGGGAGCTTCACGTTCTCGGCCTCCCCTTCGCAGCCATCATTACATTAAAAGCCAATTTTATCAACTGTTGAGCTTGGTGTCGCTTTCGGAAGGCCTCAGCAATCAGAAGACTCAAATTTAATACCAAACACTCGCTCAGCGATATAAGAAAACAATCTAAATATGCAACTCGGTTGCACTGTTCAAAAAACTAAGACTTTTCTAGGTACTTACGTTTAGTTGGTCTGCTAGTAAAATAAATAGTTACTGTTTACTATTGTAAACATCTTTGAGGGAGTCAAGTCAGGTGGAAATATTTATAAGCTTAGGATAATAAACAAAAATTGAATGCAATTAGTTTGTTTTCCCCAGTGTTTTCCTGCCAAGCTTCCTTTAAATTAAAACTTTCGTTCACCATCATCCAACAGCCATCCGAATCGACGGGCCTCTGTGCGTGTCAGCATCTCCCAGCCGCAATTGGGTTACCCGGCAAATGGAAGTGGCAATGGGGGTGGAGGTGTTGGGGCAACAGAAGGCGGGGGCGGAGGCGGAGGCGGTGGCAATGGCTCATCAGCTGCGACAACGAGCTGCTCAACTCCTGGGGGCTCTGGCTTGATGAAAATCGCCACCATCCAGAGACCGATTCTCAGCCAGAATCAGGAAGCTGGAGGCAATCACCTGCTGGAGCAGGTGAGATCCACGGCTTCGAAGCCTGATAACCGACAGCGCCACAAAATGCGGCCCTTTAAGTTTGCTTTAAACCGCGTTGCCACGCCCACTCTCAACTTACGGTGAGTAATTTAACGGTAAATAATTGCATTCCCAAATTAACTCCATTGGAGAATCTCAGTCATGAGCTGTACATTTATTTACCTTAATAAAAAATATTAAAAATAATTGGGAAAAGGATTCCAATTTTATAATCCGAAACATAGCATTCTCTAAAAAATTGATTAACTGTAGTGTTTTTAGTTCTTATTAATTGTTAATAAATGTGTGGTCGTATAAGAGGACAATCTATCAACTGTACACTAAAAACATACTCTGGTTTATGGAGTAAATAACTTATTCGTTCTTTGTGATTTCTTCAAACGTTTTCTATAATTTCCATTTTACGTGCCATTTTACTTTATTTAAAAAGAATATATTTACTCACAGCTTCCTGAACAATCGCAGCAAGCGGAACAGTCTGTCGGCCAACGCGGTTGCCACCGAGCAGAAGGCCACCAAGGTGCTGGGGCTAGTGTTCTTCACCTTCGTCCTGTGCTGGTCGCCCTTCTTCATTCTGAACATCATCTTTGCTGCATGCCCCGAGTGCCAGGTGCCCGAGCACGTGGTGAACACCTGTCTCTGGCTGGGATACGTATCCTCGACGATCAATCCAATCATCTACACCATATTCAACCGAACCTTCCGGGCGGCCTTCATCCGGTTGCTCAAATGCAACTGTGAACGGTGAGTCGGGCACTCTAATCTGGGAAAGCAATTGCAGCCAAGGGCCAGTAGGAATCGGACACAATTTATTGCTCTGGGGAGCTGTGCGCTGGGAATTAATGTGCAACGTGACGTATGATTGATTTTAAAGGATTTTTATTTTGGCAGAGGAACCAGGAGAAGTGACAAGAGGAGTGGGGGGGTGCTCCTGGCAGCGAGTGATTGCGCAGCGATTAGAAGTACAGCTCTGCCAGACTAAATTAAGGGGATATTGCTGAGATTAAAGAAGGGAGAAAAGTTCGATACTTTAAATTCCTTCTGCACTGAATGATGAAGCAATGATTTGGAAACCTTTAAAAAAACATGTTTTAGATAATCCTGATAGATATTAGGACACAAAATGTAATACATTATACAGAAAGTCGAATTGCATAATGGCATTTTTCATAAAATATTAAAAAATTAAAAAACGTATTATTGCCTATACGACTTCTCTAACCCTTTTGACTAAGCTATTTAAGCTATTTAAGGCACAGCCAGTAAGCTAGTATTTTCCATTCAATTGCAGTTCCGGCCGCCCGCTGCGCTACCGTTCCGTGACAGAAGGACGCAGTGCCCTGAGCTTGTGCGCCCCCTCGGCCTTGCCGCTGGCCATATCCTTCCAGGGGGCGCCACTAATGACGCCATCCACGGCGAATGCGACGCCTTTGAGCGAGTTCCGGGGCAGCTACACTATCACCGACGACGAGTGCTGAGCCACCATCTGCTAATAGAATACGAATTTATAACGACGAAGTGGCAAACATCAAACGGAGTCAACAGTACTTACTAGCCGCTAATCAAAGGAAAATGCTAACTTCAGGGAGCTTCTAGCATGAACCTTTCCAAGAACTAATCACAATCGAAAGAACGACTTTTGTAGAAACTATGACGCGAATACTAAACCTACTGTGCATCACATATCATTGTACTATATGCAAATGGGAGACAACAAGAGAGAGATTGAAAGATAGAGTGAGAGAGTTAGCGAGTGTATTGATGGCTGCGTTTCACTTCCACGCCAACATTCTAGCTTTAGTCAGCCCTCTACTCGATTAGTGCTAGTATAATTGAAATGAAAAGTATTGAAACTAAGAGTAGTCAATAGTCAATAGAATCCTACGTCCCCACTCCTAATTCGAGTAGAAGGGAATTGGATTTCGTACCCACCCTCAAGCCCCACTTAGATTGCCCAGACAGCTTTGCTGCTCCTTTAGTACGTACTCTGTGTAAGTGTCTTTCCGTAGCAAGTAAGCAACTGTTCAAAAACATGAATTTCAACACTTTCTAAATAAAATTGAACCGCTAAAAAAGGCATACTTACTTCGAGCGTTGTTTTCTTGTGGAAATTATTTAATTCGATTATACAGATCCTTCAGTTGTATTAAAATCTTATCAATATCGTACCATCGATGCGTTCAAATACACCAATTACTTCTATACCGGAAAGATTTCATTTTATTTATAGGGCTCGCATCTTAACGGATTTTACTCTATAATTACAGATAACATATTTTTTTAAGATTGGTTTTTTGAGTATATAAGCCACGTCAAGTAGCCTTGAGAGAGGATTAGAAAACAACGACCTTAGTTGGATCGCGGCTTCATCAATGAATCTAACCAAATCTGGATTTCAGGTAGGAAAGAAAGAAAAGAAAAGCCATTCATGTTGCACTATTCAGATATTCCTGCGTGAGACACTTAGAAATTTTGATATATTTCTGGATAGGTTCTTTCTAAGTTTGTTAATATATCCCGCCTATTCTAATAGCAGGATAGAATCTACAATTTGTACGGTTATTACTGTGTTTTTAAGGCGGGATCTAAATGGCATTTTAAGGTGAGTGCAGGTGTCCAAATTATCCGTCCATATAATGCCTTTCAGAGTATTTACCAGACCAGTCTCGAATTGGTCCTTGTGAGACATAAAGATCTATCTGGGAGACTAGAGCGTCGGGGCTACATAGAGTAGCGATCTTTGAATGTGATCCCAAAAGCGAACTCTTAATTTTTGAAGGTTAAAGAAACGATGTTTTTAAGAAAGACAGAACTGTGAAACTCTTTAAAAGTACGATACGGGCGCTGCAACTATGAAAATGCAAAACTCCTTTTGCAAGTATGCTCTCTCAAGAATCAATTAATAGCTTTCCGAACATTATCACAGTTTAACTTTTAAGAGTTGAGGAGGCCTGCAACAGTGGCAGAGACTGAGATGGAATAGAATTGGATGGAATTCAATACAACAGCAAAGTGTCAGCCCTGAGGCGTATCTAATCAAGATATGAGAGTGTGGGGCGGACTTAAGTGCTTTACGTAATAACTTCTATCTCACAAAACACCACAACAACGGCTTCCACCCACCAATCCCTCTCTCTTCTGTCATCTTTGTCACTTGTCAAAGAATTAAACATAGACGGGGTGTTCAACAATCGCGATGACAATTTAACTTCGAATTAAATATATATAGACTTATATATGGAAGACATTTCTTTGTAAGATAAAACAGCCAAGAACATAGGCTAAGGATATTCAAATCAGATATATTTTAAAACTACTCCCTACCTACTCCCTACCCCCTTCTCCTTGAGTGGAGTATAATCCCTTCGATGATATGTAAAATATAAGCTGTTTCGAAGAGTGCAGGAGTATTTAAGGCGAACTCGAGAACGGCAGGACTCAACGAGCAAAGCTGAAATGAGTGGGTATTTATTATTTGCAAGTTTCGAGTAAAATCTTTAAAACTTGACAGCGAACTAGAGCGGTAGTTGGATTGCCGATAACCGGGACCAGTACCACAGCATTAAGTTGCAGTTGCCACGATGTTTCACCCCGATGAATGTACTGGCATCTGGAGCACATTGACACAAGGAACTGAACCGCTGACTAAGCTTAGGAAGGCCACACGGAATACAGACTAGCACCAAACGGCGGTGACGACAAAGTTGGGAACAACAATTAAGTTGCCGCTGACTGACTGTTGTTTATGGCTTAGAGCTGTCTTAGTTCACCATGAAATTGATTGCACCGCTGGTATTCTGCTGTTTACTCTTGCACTTTCTCGGTCCTGCGGCTTCAAGTGCGTTGATTAACATCTTAAGTCTGCTGCAAATGATGGTAGGAAGCAGTTCTCAGCGGATTACAATTTAATTATTCGCTCAGATAGCTACATATATTGCAATTGTTTATTCCATTATTCCGCGAAACTATTTGAGAACATGAAATAAAATGTATATCACGTTCAATTGATTTATATTAGCATACTTCATATTATCCCTAACAAGTTATTAAGGTACAATCATGGTTGTAAGGTCTTGCCTTTGTTTACCGCATAATGAGTATCTAAGGTGTAGGCAGGGAAGGGCAGTGGCCTCGATTGATATTATAAACGCATCAGAAAATAGTAGAGAAATTTACATGCTAAACGAAAACGGTAGGTTTCTGATAATTTAGGTGTCAACTGATTTATTTACGCAAAGTACATTTTTTCAATTTAATTAAAACCAAAGTATTTGACAACCGAACGTAAGTTTTTGAATAATTTTTTGTTAGCTTGTGACTACTACGGATTGATGTTTGACTACTTTAAATATTTAATGTGCTTGCCTAACACAAATAAACGCATTCCTAAGCAACCGCGAACCAGTCATCTGTGTAGTTTTAGTGTAGGCATTCATCAAGCAATTTCACAACATAAAATTTGTTTTTCCGCCTTGTGTCCCGCAGCCCGAAAAAGGAAAGGGTTAAGTCGTCGCCATCTGAGCTTAAGGTGACCACCTTTTCGGTGTGCTCCCTGCAGATTAGTCAAATTGGTTTTTGCGGGGCAACTCGCTGGGCGCGGTTTGCTATTTTCACCCCAACCCAAAACTAACCCTCAATTCAAACCAAGATTAATTCCGCGACAACCTCAAGCTTATGAACCCGAGAGCAGTTCACCTCGCCCAAAGCTATGCAACTAAAGGAAGCATCACTTGAAAGGCAACAAAGAAAACAGAAGTTTTGAATTCTTTTTGGCCGCAAATAAGTAATTGGACTTTAAATATTCCTTCAGCGCTTCAGCTTTTTGGAACCACCAAGTTGAACGCAATAATAAAATACTAATAATGAAACGCGTTCTCAAGTCAGAGGACTGTTGTACAGCAACTCACTAGAGCGAGTTCTGTGCACTGCTCGACAATTTTGTAGGAACTGTAAAGGAGGCTAAGTGAATATGGTTTCGCATTACAGCCCTTGTCACGTTTAACTGAAAACATTCTAATGAAACCACAAAAAAAACTGAAAACTCGATTGTTAGAGTAGATCAACTGAATTATATTCTGAAGTTAAATTTATTTTCAATACATGTAGCGAATATTTTAAATTTTTATTGAGCTCCGTTTCGTTTGATTGCATTGACAAAAAATAAAGGAGCTCTAGTTGATTATACCCTTTAGTTTATAAACAAATTTAAAAATAACAAGAAATAACGAAGTAGACGAGTTCAGCAACACTGTTACTTTGCTAATATTTATAACAATTATTGTCTCTATCTTATTGACAAAAATTTTATTTTTGATGTCAAACCAAACCTTTAACATACATACTTTTTTAAGGCTTACGGTCGTTGGAGTGGGCATGACAATGGTTAAAGTAGGCATCCCATGTGTCTTTAACGTATACACGTCTTAACTTTATTCGGTACTTAAGCCGCTTAGTACATTCACGAGCGTTAATTACGCTCCTTTAGATAGTCGAGTGTATAAGTCTCACTTTAGCCAACTTCTTAATAAACTTTTAAAATTAAATCAATGTTAACAAAATTACCAGCAAGTGAAAGCGGGACAAGCTGGTCAAACTAGATCGAATGATTTTGATAATATTATATTGCTTTGCAATAAGTCATGGTAAAGGTCGTGGTTAAATGACAGATGGGAATTCCATTTCAGGTTACTCATAAGTTGTTAAACTGCTGCTAATTGCTTATAAATTGTTAAATGCCTTCAAACAGCTGGCGTGCGACAAGGGGTTAATGGCGAGAATCCCAGGAGAATATACGGGATGTCCTTACTTATCCTTCCACCTAGCGAAGGCAATTAGCAAGCAAAATAAATGACCATTCTGTGTTAATTAGCGGATTGCCCTCCGTTTTCGGGTGGTTGGGTGATTTTTGGATGGTCTTGAATGACGGGAGGTGCGGATTGGCTTGTGTGGCCCTGTTGCGGTTGATTAGCGCTGACAACTAATCGGATTGACCGATAGTATTTGACTACTTAATGGCTTGCCGTTGCTGATTAAGGTTGAGTTACTGTGAGATAGCAAATCGAATAAGAGGCTTTTTAAGGCGGAGTTGGATGCAGGACTAAAAATAAAATTCCAAGGCTTTCTTAAATACTTGTAATTTTGTGTTGCTAGTTTAACCCCTTCTTAGAGCTGTTTTTAAAAACGTTTAAGCTGATTTTTTTTAAATGTGGTGGAATCGATGGTACTCCCTTAGATTGCCATACATTGGATTCCCACAGCCTTCCCATGTGGCTTTTAGGAACTTAGGAAAATAGGTGGAGAACAACATTGAAGAACTTTAAATGACTTACATTGTTTGGAAATACAATGAAAAAATCAAACTAAGCTAAGCCAGCAGAACTTTTCCAGTAAGTTGGATAAATCTTTGTGTACGAAATATACCAGAATGACAAATACTGCTATCCTCAAGGCGATGGTTCTCGGAAGCACGAAAGAAAATGGACCTACAGCACTCAAAAAAACGTGTGTTCCGATACATCATGAAATCAACATGATCTTTGATGAGAAAAGAAAGTATTAACTTTGACCAGATTACCAACAAATATGAATTAAATTTTTGGTTCAAGGAATAGGACAAAATATCCCAGAAGTGGGTCTCCAGCTGGTCATTGGTATACAGGGAAATCATTCCAAATATTTAATGTCCTTATTTTTGTATCTGAAATAAACCTGTGTAGTATTTTTCTTATTTTAATGTCAAACAATAAATCAAAATATCTAGTTAATTTTAACGCTTACTCGTATACTACAAATCTCTATTTAAATTATTTCAATAACTTTCTTAATTAGCTAGATGTTTAAGTTTATTTGAAATGCTCGTTATTTAGGTTGAGAGCCTTCCACAATAATCTCAACACAGTTTAGGGATTATTGTAATGAATATGAATAGTCTAGTCCAAATGTCAACGTCCGTCTATCTGTAAGAACGCTGAGATCTCAGAAACTATACGAGCGAAAAGATTATACTCACCCATAAAAACTTAAAGATGCTTGTCCAGCACAATTCGATTTTAGTGCCATCATCATCAGTTGAGATATGTGCAATAGATGGCGCTATTAAAATTGTAAATTGTCTATTCATATAATAGTTCAATGTATTCTCTAGTTAGCAAACAGAATAATGGGTATCGTAAAGTTTGTTTTCTCCGATGATAATCCTTCAATAGGAAAAAATACTTGTAAAAGTTGGTTTCCTCTTCACAATTCTCTCCCCCAAACAAGCATTAAAAAATCTTTCTTTAATGTTTTTACTCATTGAGCAATGAATAATTTCTATTTCAGAAAGTGCGATTAACAATATCATTGATTAAACTATACAATTCTCGGCCTGATTACTTTTATAGTTTGAGAGCTTGCCATATGTACACGAGAAGAACAGCTAAATGCTTAGGCGCACCTCGTTTTTGCTCTTAAAATGTTAAGTTTTAGTGCTTAATTATAACTATTAACTATGGGTTAACTTATTGCAATCAGAGAAATATTTTCTGCCTATAGCCGGTGGTAGCTTTCTTTTATTCTCTTTATATCATTTTTCTTAATGGCTTCAAATGTTTCCAATAGACTTCGGTTTACTTCAACAAGTAGTCCATCTCAGACTTTGTGGTGGACATGTACTGATCAAGCTCCATGTCAAGATCCTCGCGTTTCACCTCCACGGGCTGTGATTTGCCTAATAAAGAAAGAAATAAAAATTCTAAAGATAAGTTCGAAGGGATTAAAGAGAGAAATAATGGTCAATATTTTGTTTCAAGTGCCGATATCCAAATCCAGTCCGGTTGGTCTCCTGGCCACTTGTCGCGCTTTTACCTGCAGGCTTACGACTACGACTGCGTCCCCGGCGACCCTGTTGCTGCGGGCCCTGTTTGCCACCGTTTGCCGTCTTGCCCTTGGCATATTTGTTGGTTTTACCATTACTATTGTTGTTGCTTCCTTTGGGAGCGCCCGCACTGCGTCCACGTCGCTGACGAGGATTAGCCCGGCCCTTTGCGGTAGCGTTGGCAGCGGCAGCAGCGACAACGGCAGCACGATTGCGGGACCGTGAGCGACGTCCGGGTACAGAATTATTAGCAACCCCACCGCCAGCAGCAGCGTTCCTTACAGCAGATCTGTAATAAAATGAAAATATAAGTATATTTATCAACCAAAATTAGATAGTTTAACAAAGCCTTAGCGATTAAATATAAATTATCTTCTTAAATTTATATCTATAAGAGACTCAAATACATTAGTTTCGAAATGGGTTTTGGATTTTTAGTACCACTTTAGCCTTGGACTAATCTTAATAAAAACATTTGTCTATCAATCGTTCTGAACATTCAACCCAATAAATTAATCAAGACATCGACCTGTTCTTTCCATATTCCCGTTAAACATGTAAATTTTACTAACATTTTTGCGTTACATACCTTCCGCGTGGTCGTCCCTGGCGTCCAGCGAGTGAGGCGGAGACTCCCTTCTTCGGAGAAACCTGTGCGGTACGACGCTTCTCCACCCGACCGCCGACCACACCTCGGAGTTGGCTCGATGCCCGGCGCTGTCGTGGGTTCTTGGCCTGGTTGTTGCCATGGTTGTTTCCCTGGCCCGGACGTATTCCGAGGCGATGCTTGACCGAAAGGCGCTGTTTTACCGGTACACGTCCCTGAGCCGAGCGATCTCGATTGCGGCTCTGCGAACGTCCTACGCTGCGTCCGCGGCTTTGGGAACGACGTCCATCCACGCGCTGTGGTTGTGGTTGACGAGAACGAGATCGCGATCGGGAACGTCCACGTGGAGATTGCTGCTGCTGCTGTCGCTGACGGCGCTCAACGCGCTCTGCGGCACCGCCCACTGATGGCCGGCGCTGTCCTAGTCGCTGACGAAGGCCTCCACCACCTGCTCCGTTGGAGACGGAGAAACGGCGGGTGCTACTGCCGCTGCGCCGATTGCGGGCGACGTTGCTGCTGGCCACTAGATCGGCACGCATCCTGGTCGATTAACGAAGAAGTACAGATATGTTGCAGTGGATTTGGAATGGTTGAGCGCGATTAATGACGAGATGCTTACGTTGCTACCCGGGTCACGTTGTTAGACCGCATGGGCTTTCCATTGGGCGCCAAACGCAGCGACTTGACGCCGCCAACGCGGACTCCGCGTCCGGTCACGCCGTTGGTCCGTAAGCTTCTCTGTAAGGAGGCATAAGGTTGTGTGGAAGTTTTGGTTTGAGTACGCTGCTGCACAGTGTTGGAGTTCAAGTTCAAGGGAGATAGAGATAGACAGTCTGAGAGGCTGGAGGGGGTTTTAGGACCACGCAGAAGGCGCACATTGCTTGACAGCTGTGTCCGACTCCATCTCCTCCTGGTTGTCCAAGCCACTACTGACAGACATCGACCTGTCCCATGGATCAGGTCGGCTTCCACTGTCTGCTTGCAATATTCGGTTTATGGGTGAAACGTACGCGCTTCAATTTGAGGGCCGTCTGGACGGTGTGCCGCCTCTTGAACTCCTGCAATAGGCGGGAGTTGGCCGCCGAGATTCCTGCATTACCAGCGCCGCTGTCAACGATGCGCCGGCTCCTGCTCCTTGAACGGCTGCGGCCGCGACCCTGTGGCAGCGGTTTTGACTGCATCTGCGTGAAGCGATCGTTTAGAGAGATTCCGGTGTTCATGTTTCTTCTTTTAAAAATTTCGGTTTTTAATATTTTTCCGTTTTCACTAATTATAGCTTTAACGGCCGAGTGTGTTTCTGTGTCGAAAACCGGTTTGCAACTGTAACGGAAAGGAAAAATGCAATCAGTTTTGTAGACAGGCAGGTACGTCAGGACAAAGGGGTGGCCCAAGGACAGGTAGCGCCAGCTGACACTCATAAACGCTAAGCTCACGCAACCATTTCAAAATCCATCAATAAATCTGCAGCTGCTCGCTGTAAAGTACAGGCAAATGTGGAACTCGAACCTTATCCCCTTTCCTTTTGACACCCCTAATTTCAGCTGAGGGCATAGAAACAGCACTTGGGAAAAATAGGTTTTAATTTCGGGACTATCCCAGAACAAAGTGCAATAAATTTATTACATTTTTTGTATAAATATATACACAATTAAGTTTCCATTTTGCAACTTCCACACACTATAGTTACTTACATTATGAAGATTTAAATTATTGCAATAAGTCTATCAAGAAAACCATCTTTTGTTCTATTGTTTCGACGGCGACTGTGTATAGATACATAAATATATGTAAATAAGTATGTATGTATAGGGTTGCATTCGAGAAGAACTCACTGTAATCTAATTATAGTCTCCACAACAAAACGAAATTTTCGTGGGAGACTGATTCACTCATCAAAAATTGAGGCATACCTATTTATACATACATACGTATGTACTTTAATTACATAAACGAAATCCATTTTCGATTAATACTTACATTTTATGACGCCTTTTGCGTCGCACCTTTTCTTGATCCTTGCCCAAAAGAAGATACTTTCATGTGCTAAGATTGGTTTTCACAGCGAAACTTCTTTGGTTTGTAATTGATCCTCTATTTATTGCTTATGTTGTTCGCAGTCAAAGATATGACGTATGTTTTATTTAGCCTAGTTTTTTCTAGCAGTTCTGGATGACAAAGAAATCAGGCACGGAGTGAAATCACTAAAGCGTTATCCAACAATTCTGTAAAATACTGAATCAATGTGAGTCACATTAGGGGTATTCAAAAGATAGTATTAAAATGTATATTTTATATATATATATTTTTATGCATTTATATATTGTCAAATATGTCATTAAATGCTTTATAAGGTTACGTTCTTAATTGTGGGTTCGATGTTTCATATGTTTTGAAAGAAATTTCGCCTGAAAAATATATTCCTTTAAGTAGATTTCTCTTGATTTATTTATTTTATAAATTTAGTCACTTCGAGTATGCAACACGACTACATACTACAATACTACATATTTAAAAACTTGGCATTTAAGAAACGTTCTGTTTTTGACTTTTAAAAAATATTGATCGTCTTTCATAAAGGTTAGCGGCTCTTACATTTAGTGGAAACAACAATTTAAGATATTTGCGAAGTAAAAGAAAAGTACGTAGATACTAAATCACGATATTTCATGTCGCTTATCGGATAGCTGGTTACTCTGGCTGCCGCAGAAGTAGGGTAGTCGCCGGCCATCAGCAATCCAAATGAACTCCTACGGTTTGTAGACAGAATTAAAACCTGAATATAACTGCTTTCCCACAAGAAACCACAAACACAAAAGGAGCGACAGCCACCAACCGTGCCTAAAAAAGTGGCCGACCATTTTTCGAGCCCTAAGTTTGCATTTGACCCGATTATTTGTTATTTTCTGCTGCCTCAATCATTGCCGCGCGCCCCATACATTTTGTTGTTGCTTTAGCAGTACATATATTAGTATTATTATTTGTGTGTTATTGTTTACCGTGACTTTTCATTTCAAACTCGGTGGTGCACCAGAACACACAGCTCAGCCACATCCACATAGCACACTGAAAGAAATCCAAGAAACCCAACCCGACACCGAAACTGAATAGACGAACCAACGAGACCCTTTCCAAAGCCAAAGACAAGTCAAAAATGGCCAAAATGTACGGAAAGGGTAAGAGTAAGTACACGCCAATCCACACGCACTTTTGCATTGCAATTGCAACCTAACACCTACTGACACCGCTTGACATGCCAAATCTAAATGATCTCACAACCTATTACTCGGGGACTAATACTATCTATATATTATCGGTAGCTGCGATCGAGTCGGAGGAGCAGCAGAAGCGACGCTGGCAAATCGAGCTGGAGTTCGTGCAGTGCCTCTCTAACCCCAACTATCTCAACTGTAAGTAACATGCCAACTGCAAGGCCCAACCAACCCTGCCTAGGCACAGAACCAATTATCTATTATTACTATATAAAACCATACCTATTAAACCATGTATCTAACCATATAATTCCTTTTTGGCAGTCCTCGCACAGCGTGGATTTTTCAAGGACCAGTCGTTCATTAACTACTTGAAATATCTGCAGTACTGGAAGGAGCCGGACTATGCGAAATACCTCATGTACCCAATGTGCCTCTACTTCCTCGATTTACTGCAGTACGAGCACTTCCGCCGTGAGATTGTTAATTCGCAGTGCTGCAAGTTCATAGATGACCAAGCCATTCTCCAGTGGCAGCACTACACTCGCAAGCGGATCAAACTAATCGAGAACGCGACAGCCGCCCAGCAGCAACAACAGCAGCTACAGCAGCAGCAGATGCAGGCTAACGGAGTAGAAGCTGCAACGGGAGGCGAGGCAGCGGCAGCCACGCCCAACGTGAATGGAGCTGCTGGCTCGGCGGACTGCCAACAGACGGCCACTGCACTGCAGCCTGTCCAGGCTCAGGTGGGGAATCCCCAGCAGCAGCAGCAACAAATCAATGGCCTTGCAACAGGGGCCAACATCTAACTAAAATTTTATCAATAAAGTAGTCTAAGAATATTGAACGAGTTACCTTTCATTTTAAGCAGTGGCTGTAGAAGGTGTATGCGCGTTTAATCTTAAAATATTTATATTCTACAGAAAATGTTTAAATGTTTTTCCCTTAAAGTAGAAACACTTTGAAGTCTGGAGCTCCCTTAGATAAAAAGCTGTCGCCTCTTTTTGTTGTTTAATATTGGTTTCGTACTTAAAAGCTTTTGCAATAATATATCTGCTAATGAATTCACAGCCCCACAGGATGCAATTTCTGAGCAAGCGGAAACTGTCGCCCACAAGGGCCATTTCTACGGAGTCTATTTGCTCTGCAGCCAAAGTTTGGACTCCCGATACAGGGGGAAGTGCTACGTCGGCTTTACAGTGAATCCGAAACGGCGGATACGACAGCATAACCTAGGCTGCGACTTCGGTGGAGCAAGGAAAACCAGTCGCAAGGGTCCTTGGCAGATGGTAATGATCGTTCACGGATTTCCGAATAATATAGTGGCTCTGCAGTTTGAGTGGGCTTGGCAACAACCTGCACTATCCACCAGACTAAAAATATATCCTGAATTAAAACGTAAGTTACCCAGGGAGACCTATTTCGACTACAACTTCAGGATCCTAAGTAGGATGTTGGGAGTAGGCCCCTGGAACCGACTGCCACTAAGTGTTCGATGGTTAGAAACCGATTATGAGAGGGCATTTAATGTACCACTTCCTAACCATATGGAGATTGTGAGTGGTAAAGTTTCCATTAGTGCCTCACAACGAAAGAGAGCTGATGATACAGTTGCTCCAGCGGCTGCTGCTTGGGCTGCTGAGTGTCACCTGTGTATGCAGCCAATCAAGCAACCGGAAAGGTCCCGTCTAGGATGTACTAATCCAACCTGTCGGCTCACCTCTCATATGCTGTGCTTGGCCAATTATCTCCTAAGCGATGAGCCAGGTCACTACATCCCAATTGGAGGAGAGTGTCCCCTTTGCGAGACCCGCCTCAGCTGGGCAGCTCTTCTGCAGCACAAAAGACTCCTTTCTGGTGTCCCTGAGGAGCTTCAGGATCAGGATGAGGATCTCAGCGACGGTCCCGATGTGGACAGCGATGTGGAATGTATGCCGGAGCTGAGCGATTAAGTTAAATTTGATACAAATGCTTTGTCATAAATGGTCACAAATAAAGAAAATCTTTAATACAAATTAAGATGTTACATATGGAGGTAAACATTGAATACTTAAATAACCACTTCTTCTTGGGGTTTCATGTAAAGCTAAACCAAAAGAAATCCAATTCGAGTTTTGCAGAAATATAAATACTTTGGACACAGTCAGAGGTCCAGCTGGGTAACATGTGCCTTAATACTCTTTAGAGCTTTCTTATAGTTATGTAGTAGTTCGGTCATCTTTCGCTTCTCCTTCAAGTAATATTCCATGGACATTTGAACGTACTCCTGGCCTTTAAAATTAAATACAGACACTTCGGATGTATCGATGGCTTCAATATCGATAGATTCGTCTGCAGGCTCAGCAGTTGGAACGGGCTCCGCTTTTGAAGTTTCCTTTACAGACGGGACACGGACACTTTCCCTTTGCCGTTTAGCAGGTGTAGACTCTATGTCAAAGTCTACTAAAATTAAAAAATAAAATTTTTTTTTAAATCTTATCTATATATGAACAATGTAGTACTTACGCTCTATTTTAGTTTTGTTACTTGTTGTGGTGTCCACATTATTAATGCTTAGTTCATCGTCGCTCATGTTTATATAGTAGCTCTCATGCGACGTGGAGGCTACCTGTTGGGTCTCCTCCTCCGCGTCAGGTTCACTATCCTCGTACGGATATGGAACCGCCTCGCCCACAAGGACAGTTCGGTTCTTGGTAGAGGATATGAACTTGCGGTCGAAGTGACTTGAGCACATAAATAACTGAGTTTGGGGAATCTTGGGGTGAACCTTTCCATTTATGTGCCATATTCGCGCTCTTTCCTGTTGTTTCGGAAAGGCAAACAATGTTCTGCTTTTTTTTTGCGAGTTGTCGTGAACAAAATAGTAGTATTCACAATCTTTGTATACGCAAGTCCTTGTAACCATTTTTAAAAATATTATTTTTTGTATTCGCGTTGTTTTTAGCGATGGACGATATGTCGAAACACGAAACACTCACGTGGTAAATTTCAAAAGCAGATAGTATTTTAATATTAAAGGCATTAGGGCTATTCCATTTGTATTATAAAGTAATCGAATTTGAACCAACAATTGTTTTATACCGCTTTCCGGATTAGAGACTCAAATCGTAAATTTGTTAAAAGAAATTCTGACTTGTATTAAAAAAAGTATAGTTTTTTTAAATATTAAAAAAGGTAAACCGTACAACCCCAATCTCCTAAATCTTATAAAAGTAATAACCTTTACCACTTAATTAATTATCTCGGAAATGAATTACTTTTCATTCGAACAATTAAGTCTTTTAATAATTGTTTTTAAGCTGTATTTAAAGTTATATGTTTAAGTTTAACAGCATGTTGATAGTTTAGTTTAATTTGAATACTACAGATTATCAATTTAGTAATACAAATAATGAAGAGAAATTCCTTTGCGTTCGAATTGTTTATATGTACATTTAAAAAACTCAAACTCAATTAGGGATTGTTGCTCATTTTTATTCATAAAAGCATTACGAGTTACAATTTTTGTTAGAATCTAAAAAATTTGTTTGCCTGTGTAAAATTAGTTGGTTTTCATTTGTTACATGAGGTCAGTAAAGTCATCACTTTGTTAATAAATTTTTCACTGGGAAACTGTTTTCCACTGTAAACTTTAAATCCTATCAGTCTGGCAGGTCCGTCGAGAGACGCGAAACTCTTCTTACCCCTTCTTCATATAGTGTTATTTGTTTTCTGTGCTTAAATCGACATTTCTCAGCTATGCTTATGCGGGCCAAGAATGGAAAAGACATCGACAGCGCTATATCGGATTGCGATCCCGAGATCAGTAACAGAGACATAGACCTAACCAATAAGAGGAAAGAAAAGGCTAGTTCCATCGGCTGCGAGGGACTCATAACCACATATCATGAGTACTGTGAGAATACGTCCATCCACGGGGTTCAATATCTGGGAGAGCGGGAGCGACCCATGCGCGAACGGATCTTCTGGCTGCTTGTGTTCCTAATCTCCATATATGGCTGCTCCACACTGATCCTCAGTGCCTACACCAAGTGGACCGAGACGGTGGGAATCTATGATAAACACAGCTAATTTTAGTTTTTCTTAATTTCAATTCTAATTTGATGACTCTTCATTTAAAATTAAAATAGGTTTCAAATCAGTTTACATAAAATTCAAAATATTTTTACATCCTCGTATTGTTTTGTCTATAGATAGTAAACTTTGATTATGTAATGATCGAAAGAATTTAAAATTTCATTTGGTTTAAAAAGTCTGTGTACTATTTTAATAGCCTATCAAATTTGCTTTTTTTTAATGCCTCATTTAATATATATATTGTCTCGTGTTACAGCCTGTGATTGTGAGCTTCGCGGAGAAATCAACACCCGTGTGGAACATTCCTTTCCCGGCGGTCACTGTTTGCTCCGAAACTAAACGGGTATTGAAGCAGAAAGGTTTGTTGAAATAACATCTTGGGTTCGTTTTATCTGTCGATAGGAATTGCATCTCGACGATGCTTCTTGCTCTCTTAAAGTTTACTAAGAATAATGAACAATTAGTTTTTAAATGTTATTGGCAGGTAAGGAGAAAAGTTATGCGGATCTCTACAGCCAGTTCAGCGAAGAAATGCGAGTATTGCGGGTGTTTAAGCCCCAAAATGTTAGTGCCCTGGAAATGGAGGAGTTCCGGACCCTGTTGCACGTGTGCAACACCCAGATCATCGACCAGGACATGCCATTGATAGCCGGCGACGACTTGGACTACTTTGAAGTTTTGGAGAGGATGTTGCCCCAGTTTGATCGGTATTTCTTCTACTGCCGCTGGCTGAGCCGTTTCGGCGAATGCGAGAAGTTTTTCCGAAAGACTCTTACGGAGGAGGGCATTTGCTATACCTTCAATGGACTGAGGGCCACAGAGATATACCGGGAGGACACCTATCAGTACCGGCACAGTGGGGAGCCTTTGGAGATGGAAAACATAAGTTCACAGCATCCGCCCTGGACCCTAGAAACGGGCTATGCGCACGGTAGCGATGTGGAAACATTTCCGGCAAGGGTTCTGAGTGCCGGAGCGCGATCTGGCATTTTTCTGGTCCTCCAAAGCTTTAAGCAAGAGGTGGACTACGCTTGCCGAGGACCAGTGCAGGGATTTAAGGTATAATTCAATCAGAACGTCCAGTTTCTTATGCTTATGCTATCGACTAGACAAATAGTTATACCTTCTTTTTCAACTTTATAATTTAATTAATGATTGTAAAATAAATTGATTACCTTATTATATCTGCCTTTATACGACCAGGTTCTGCTGCATGCCCCGGATGACGTGCCGCAGGTGTCGAAGCAGTTCGTGCGCATCCCAATGGGCAAAGAGGTGCTAATCGCTGTGAAGCCCAACATGATCACCATGTCATCAGGCATCGCAGAGTACCATCCTATTCGGAGACAGTGCTTTCTTAGCCACGAACGATCGCTGCGCTTCTTCAAGGTTTACACCGAATCCAATTGCCAGCTGGAGTGTCTGGCCAACTTCACACTGACCAAGTGTGGATGTGTCAAGTTCTCGATGCCGAGGAACATGTACATGCCCGTGTGCGGAGAGGATAAAATCCACTGCTACGATCGGGCGGAAAGGGAGTTGTTGGTCAGGGAATTTATGCGAGTAAGAGCTCTGAACTCAGCTCGAGATTATTCTCGAGGTGTGGAATCTGCCTGTAATTGCATGCCCGCTTGCACATCGCTTGTCTACAACACGGAGATCTCACAGGCAAATTTTGATCTGGAGGAAATGCTGCTGGCCGAGGGTGACACCGAGTTCCTTCAAGATTATCCCGGCTCGCAGATGTCCCGCCTGTCCATATATTTCAAGCAGAGCCAGTTTATCACTTCAAAGCGATCGGAACTTTATGGGATGACCGAGTTCCTGGCCAACTGTGGTGGTATATTTGGCTTGTTTATGGGTTTCTCCATCCTGAGCTTGGTGGAGATGATTTACCACTTCACCCTGCGGCTCTTCACCAATCTGAAACGATTGGTCAGAGTCCAGGGTCAGTAGTTATAAGTGTCATATTTACTAACTATTAATTTGTCCGGTTACAAAACTGAAATATTTGCATAAATTATTAAGTAGCTTTGTCCGGTTACAAAAAACTCAAATATTTGTATGATTTAAAATATATAAATTAAAGATAATTGAGTCGCGCCTAAAAATATTTACTATGTACATACATACATATACGAGGTGTGTTCAAAAAGTAAGGTGACTTTGTATTTTCAAGAAAAACTATTAATTTATTTATCAATATTTATGTTGTCCCCTTCAAAGTAATCCCCCTCAGATACAATACACTTATGCCAACGGTTTTTCCAATCCTCAAAGCACTTCCCATAAGCACTTTTCGGTATAGCCTTGAGCTCTTGCAGCGATGCAGTCTTTATCTCTTCAATCGTTGCAAATCTCCGTCCTTTCATAGGTCTCTTCAGTTTTGGGAACAAGAAAAAATCATATGGGGCCAAATCCGGTGAATATGGTGGCTGAGGCATTATTGTGGTGTTGTTTTTGGCCAAAAAATCTCTCACAAGCAAAGATGAGTGAGCAGGGGCATTATCGTGATGCAAAAGCCATGAATTGTTTTTCCACAATTCTGGACGTTTCTTTCGTATTGCTTCTCGCAAACGGCGCATAACTTCCAGATAATACTGTTTATTGACCGTACGACCATATGGTAAGAACTCCTGATGCACCACGCCATGGTAATCGAAGAAAACAGTGATCAAAACTTTGACATTTGATCGAACTTGGCGTGCTTTTTTCGGTCTTGGCTCGCCTGGGCTCTTCCATTGGGACGATTGGGCTTTGGTTTCGATATCATAACCATATACCCATGATTCGTCACCAGTTATGACCCTTTTGAGTAAATCTGGGTCGTCGTTGACGTCATTCAACAGCTCTTGAGCGATGCTCATGCGACGGTTCTTTTGGTCAAAATTCAGCAATTTCGGAACAAACTTCGCTGACACACGACTCATACCCAAAACGTTTGAAAAAATTTCATGGCACGAGCCAAGCGATATACCGACATCTTCAGCAACTTCTCTGATAGTGATTCGACGATTTTCCAAAACAATTTTCGTCACTGCTTGAACGTTTTCATCAGTTGTTGACGTGCTTGGGCGTACAGAGCGAGGCTGGTCATTGGCATCTTCCCGGCCATCTTGGAAGAGTTTGTACCACTTGTACACATTTTTTTTACTCAGAACAGTTTCACCGTATGCCACTGTCAACATTTCAAGTGTTTCAGAGCACTTAATTTTATTTTTTACACAAAATTTGATGCAAATCCTTTGATCCATATTTTTCGATAGCAAAAAATCGCCGAGCTCGCAAAATAACTTGTAACTTTACGCCTCTCACAACCAAACAAAAGAGGATGTTCCATTGAAACTTGGTACAGATGTTAGGGAAGAGTGTACCAATATAACAAAACAAAAAAATCGATAATCGAAAATATGTTGCCCGCGAAATTTGAAAAGTCACCTTACTTTTTGAACACACCTCGTATATGATTTAATAAATTTGGAAATAACCCTACAGCTTTTGCGTTAAATATAAAATTGGCTTTCATGTTTTGTATATAATAATAATAATTTATTTATTTATTTTTGTGTAATTATTATTTTACTATTTACTATAGTAAAAGACAAACTATTTTTTAATTATGCCTGTAAAACAAAAGCTACAAGAAATACACAGTTCTTGGCTGATAAAGTGATAGATATGTATAAACATAAGGCTGACTTATAATTGACCATATGTATGTTAAGTTGACAATAATCCAACTTCAAAATAAAATAATAAATCTGTTTAAATATATGGCTGTAGTTTCAAATATAAAGGCTACGAAAAGTATTTAACAGTTTTCCCAAAAAACAAGAAAAAGCTGATTCTTTGTCGTTAAATATTCACATTTTAAAATACACAGTTCTAAACGTTTCGATTAACGCGCCAGCTAGACGGCTTCGTTAATCGGGTGGCTCGCTTTCGCGCCAAAACCAATCGGGCGCTATCGATAACAGCAGAGCAGTGTTGCCAGTGGTAGTTCCACGAAATTCCAGACTGACAGTGCCTTAAAAATTAATTAAAACGTTTGATAAACCAGATCGAAACACGAAATCGTACAGATTTGACGTCCACCAAGTCAGCAGGCACCCGATAATTTACGGCGCGAGTCCCCGTGTGCTGTACGCGGAATTGCGAAGCGTGACAACCCAGTCGCTAGCCAGTTGTTCTGCTCTTTTTTAGGCGGCCGCCGTCGCGTGTGGACTGAAGTGAAAATCGTGGTTTATTTTCGCGAACGCTCGCGTTTTGTTTCATTTGAACCAGACAGGATAGTATGGCAGCGGATCAGGCTCAGTTCCAGCAGCTACTGGCGTCCTTGTTGTCCACGGACAATGATGTGCGCCAGCAGGCGGAGGTGAGTCGCATAATTCTCTGCGCACGGTTGTGGGTAGGGCGGGGGATCGCGTAAAGTATATTGCCATCACCCTCGAATTTTCGATGCGCAATTCTCAAACTGCATATTTACGGGTCCACGACGGATTTTGGTTTCGATTCTGAAAGGCAGCTGCCATCTATAAGATATTTCCCGGCTATATAGACATCCGAATCTTCGACCGAAATTTCGAAGAATCTGAATCATCGCACAAAACGTGTTTTCGCCCTCCGTCTTGTCTCGACATTCGCATGTGTGCGAGAGAGAACTACCGACGGATGACAGACGGTGCGAAGCAGGCAAACAAAGCAAAATCGAAAGAAATTGTACAATTTGCATGGTCTCTGGAACAGGGAATAGGTTATAGGAAATTTGAAATACGGAATACCAACTCCGCCTATATCCGCAAACGGAAACAAAGAGCAGGTGCGAAATTCATGACACACGGTCTGGGAAATGCAATCTGTCGGTTGATAAGAAGCTCGGATTCCGTTGTTTCGTTCCGGCGCCACATGGCACCACCCCACCCCAATCCACCCACTGAACCCCACCCACTCGGCTGACCTTGGGCAGATGGCAGGCATGGTACCGATGGCATTTGCATTGGAATACTAGTTGGCCATTGCCATAAATATATAGTTTCCATGTCGATTTCACTTTCATCCGAAAATAAGCTTATCGTCAAATTTAATTTATTAAAAATTTGTAAAAGGAAAATATAAATATAAACAATTCATCTTAATGCAAATATTCGTCTTTAAATTCAAATTTAAAAAAAATGTATTTATAATTTTACCTTGAAAAACGTAAAAATAAATGATGGTTTCACTATTAAATTAATAAACCTACAAGAACTTTACATATATTATCAAAACATCATTTAAAATAAGTTGACAAGTAAATATAAAATTCATACTTGTTAAAAATATATAGTATGCAAAATAATGATTTGAATATAAACACAAATTTTAAAATGTAAATAATGTATTTAACATAAATTAAAAAAGAAATTCTTGTCTCTTAAAATACAGTGGCTAATTTAGATATTATGTAAGCAATCTCATGCGAAACGCAAAAATGTTATCTCAATCGGTTCAGAAGCATTGTCCTTCTATTCAATTTAGTTCCTAGAATATAATTATAAGCTGTATTAACTCTATTTGTAACTTTATTGATTGACATATAAGCAAAACAAAGGAATGATGGTTGCTAGATTTCAATGTTATCTTATCGTTTGGTATCTACCAACTGTAAACCACAATAAAACAGTAAAAAAAAACCTATGCAAAATGAATTGGAAAATAAATCGACTTATAAATAATTTTTGAACTTTTGAGTAATTTAATTTTAATTTTTAATTAATTGCATTCGCTCGGTACCAAAATTAGAAATAAAACAAAAAACCCTATAATCCAAATTTATAGCTTAATCAAGTTTTTCCATTTGGTCTTCCATTCCAGGAAGCATACAACAACCTCGCAAGGGAGCTGAAGGTGACGCACCTCCTGGGTAACATTCAAAATGGACAGCAATCGGAAGAGGCACGCCAGATGGCCGCCGTACTGCTGCGTCGTTTGTTCACCACGGAGTTCCTGGAGTTCTATAAAGAGGTTCGCAGAAAAGAAAATCGAGTTACCTCCAGAAGCTCTTACCATTTTCCCATATTCTCAGATTCCAGCTGAGTCGCAGAACCAGTTGCTGCAGCAGATCCTTTTAGCTGTTCAGCAGGAGGTGACTCCTCAGCTGAGGCGTAAGATTTGTGAGGTGGTTGCCGAAGTGGCCAGGAACCTGATTGACGAGGATTGCAACAATCAGTGGCCGGATATCTTACAGTTCCTCTTTCAGTGCGCCAACTCCCCCACTCCCCAGCTGCAAGAGTCGGCATTGCGGATCTTTTCCAGTGTGCCTTCTATCTTTGGAAATCAAGAGGCTCAATACATCGATCTGATCAAGCAGATGCTGGCCAAAAGCATGGACGCTTCCTCAGATCCGGAGGTCCGAGTCCAGGCTGTGCGAGCCGTCGGAGCTTTCATCCTCTACCACGACAAGGATAAGGAAACGGCTGTTTACAAGCACTTTGCGGATATGCTGCCCCGCATGATCCACATTACTGGGGAGACAATCGAGGCCCAGGACGACCAGAGTCTGCTGAAGCTCTTAATCGAGATGACCGAAAACTGCCCGAAGTTCTTGCGTCCCCAGCTGGAGTTTATTTTTGAGGTTTGCATGAAGGTTTTCAGCTCTCAGGACTTCGAAGACAGCTGGCGACACCTCGTCCTGGAGGTTATGGTCTCGCTCGCCGAGAACGCTCCGGCGATGGTGCGCAAGCGGGCTGACAAGTACATAGTGGCTCTGATCCCTCTGATTTTGCATATGATGACTGACTTGGAGGACGATGAGAACTGGTCCACCGCCGATGTGGTTGATGATGACGACCACAGTGACAACAATGTGATCGCAGAGTCTTCCCTAGATCGCCTCGCCTGCGGTTTGGGAGGAAAGGCGGTCCTTCCGCACGTCATGAACGCCCTGCCGGCAATGTTGGGCCATGCTAATTGGAAGCACCGCTTTGCTGCCCTCATGGCCATCTCGGCCATCGGTGAGGGTTGCCTTAAGCAGATGGAAGCCATTCTGGACGAGGTCATGACCGGAGTCCTCAACTTCCTGAGGGATCCCCATCCCCGCGTTCGCTACGCTGCCTGTAACGCCATTGGACAAATGTCCACTGACTTTGCACCGACCTTCGAAAAGAAGTTCCACAGCCAGGTGAGTTATTCGTCAGTAATCTAATAACATTTCATTGATATGTTTGAAAAACATGAATTTGAAACAAGTTGGCTTATTTTTATATAAGGTTAGTTGGTATACTCTAAAAATGATTAGTGTTTATGCATTTTATGCATTTCAAAGCAAAGCTTTATATACAGGTTGTGGAAATCGTTTTGTATTTGCCTATAAAACGATATTTTATTTTTACGCGAAATGAAATAAACAATCTATTTCCAGTAAATAAACAAAGTCTGACAACGCTTGTAAAATTTATACTTTTCCGCTACACAGTGTAGGAGACACTTTCGATTCTTAAAAAATCAATATAAATATATGTGATCATCATCACTATATCATTACCTATCCTTGTAGATGTTCGAACGGTCGAAAGGCTAAACTAATACATTGCGATATCGATTGATTTTCCAGGTTATTCCCGGTTTACTTTCCCTCTTGGATGACGTGGAGAATCCCCGAGTGCAAGCACACGCCGGAGCCGCACTGGTGAACTTCAGCGAGGATTGCCCGAAGAACATTTTGACACGCTACCTGGACGGGATCATGGCAAAGTTGGAGACTATATTGAACTCGAAGTTCAAGGAGCTGGTGGAGAAGGGCAACAAGTTGGTTCTGGAGCAGGTGGTTACCACTATTGCTTCGGTTGCTGATACCTGTGAAGCGGAATTCGTGGCTTACTACGATCGACTTATGCCTTGCCTCAAGTTTATTATCCAGAACGCAAACTCGGATGATCTACGCATGCTTCGTGGCAAGACCATCGAGTGTGTGAGCTTGATAGGATTAGCGGTGGGCCGGGAGAAGTTCATTGGCGATGCCGGTGAAATCATGGACATGCTGTTGGTCAATCACACCGAGGGTGGAGAGCTGGCTGACGATGATCCACAGACCTCCTATCTGATCACAGCCTGGGCCCGCATGTGCAAAATTCTTGGCAAGCAATTCGAACAATATCTACCCGTTGTGATGGGTCCTGTAATGCGCACGGCCACCATGAAACCTGAAGTGGCGATGATGGACAACGAGGAGGTGGAAGATATTGAGGGTGATGTGGACTGGTCTTTTATTAATCTTGGAGAGCAGCAGAACTTCGCCATTCGCACTGCTGGCATGGACGACAAGGCTTCAGCTTGCGAGATGTTGGTCTGCTATGCTAGGGAACTGAAGGAAGGATTTGCCGAGTACGCCGAGGAGGTGGTGCGTCAAATGCTGCCCATGCTTAAGTTCTACTTCCACGACGGTGTTCGCACAGCGGCTGCTGAGTCGTTGCCTTACCTTCTCGACTGCGCTAAGATCAAGGGTCCGCAATATCTGGAGGGCATGTGGCTGTTCATCTGTCCGGAGCTGCTTAAGGTGATCAACACCGAACCGGAACCAGAAGTGCAGTCGGAGCTGTTGAACTCATTGGCTAAATGCATTGAGACCCTGGGACCCAATTGCCTTAACGAGGATGCCATGAAGCAGGTTCTCGAGATTATCAACAAGTATGTTACGGAGCATTTTGAGCGGGCTGATAAACGTCTGGCGGCCCGAAACGAGGAGGACTACGACGACGGTGTGGAGGAGGAGTTGGCCGAGCAGGACGATACCGATGTCTATATTCTTTCCAAAATCGTCGACATCACACATGCCCTCTTCCAGACGAACAAGGCTCAGTTCTTGCCCGCCTTTGAACAGGTGGCGCCGCATTTTGTCAAGCTGCTGGAGCCCAGCCGACCAGTAGCCGATCGTCAGTGGGGCGTGTGCGTGTTCGATGATCTGATCGGTAGGTCATTTTTATTTAACACTAATTCGAATTCTTAATCTCAGCTCAATAATAATTAAAATACATTGAAAGTCAACATAATTATTCAAACACAGAAAGACAACCTTAATATAATATAATGTACTTTTTATTTTGTTTGCAGAATTCTGTGGCCCCGCTTGTGCTCCCTACCAGCAAATCTTTACTCCAGCCCTGCTGCAGTACGTGACCGATAAATCTCCAGAAGTGCGCCAGGCGGCTGCCTACGGATGCGGAGTGCTCGGCCAGTTCGCCGGCGACCAGTTCGCGGTCACGTGCGCCCAGATCATTCCACAACTGATTCAGGTGATCAACGATCCCAAGTCCCGCGAAATCGAGAACATCAATGCGACAGAGAACGCCATTTCGGCATTTGCCAAGATCCTCAAGTACAATAAGTCGGCGTTGACCAACGAGGATGAGCTGCTCGCGGCATTTTTCTCTTGGCTTCCGGTGTCCGAGGATCCAGAGGAGGCCACCCACATCTATGGCTACCTGTGCGATATGATCGAAGGCAACCACCCAGTAATCCTTGGGGCTAATAATTGCAATCTGCCGCGCATCGTCTCCATCATCGCTGAAGCTTTTTGCACGAAGGTGGTTGAAGCACAGAGTGCCACCGGCACACGTATGCTCACCATCGTTAAGCAGGTTGAATCCAATCCGGACGTGATGGCCGCTTGTGCCAGCACCCTCAGCCCAGAACAACAGCAGGCTCTGCAAGATGCCTACCGGGAGCTGGCGACAGGGGCGAGTGCCTAAGGGATCGGCATCCCAATCTTCTCCAGACCCAATCCAGTCCCGGCGACCTTGGCAAGAAAGGAAGGATGGAAGCGTCAGCTCCACGTTATTATTATTTTTCATCTGACCGAAACTGTCATCGCAAATGCATTATGAACTATACGTTTTAAACATACATACACGCATACTTAAAATTATGTGAACGATAGAGTTATCCTTATCCGGGTATATAATTCTATATATATTGTGATTTCAATCAAAACTCTTCTCCCGAAGACAAAGTCTGCGCCTCGTTAGAATTTGACATGCTGCATGGATCGGATCCCAATGCCATCGCAACCACACACAAATTCCAATAGATTATTTTCGTTACTCCACTTTTCATATGTTATTTACATATGTGTGTATATTCGGCCCACACGGCCGCTTCCTTCCCAGCAAAACACAGGATGTGAACGTTGTCCGAATCAACTGAAATGTAATTTTGTGCATTCACTCCAGGATCCACAAAAATATTTAAACGAATAACATTTATTGTACTTTAAAAATGATAAAAAGAACGAAATAAATAACACGTAAAACGAAACTTTACTTTTTATAATTATTACCCCAAACGCCATATAAGTGTGACCTAGGCTGTTTAATGTTTTCCAAGTTTCGCTAGCTTGTCACAAAAAGGTGTGTGTAGTTTGTTAAATAAATCAATTTGTATGTCCAAGCAACGTGCTTGAAATTTAACAAATGGAAACTAAGTTTGCTTTCATAAAAGACGTTTGAATTTTAATGTTTTCTGATCACATAGTCCCAACCTTATTTGAAGTCAGGAAGTCTTTTCTAAAACCATATTGAACATTCCGTGTGTTCTGAAACTAAAGAATCAATATTTTTACGGTAATCACATTATTTGAAAAAATAACTGAAGGCTATTTGAGAAGAGTTTATCCCCTCATTATTCGTTATTCCCAGATAAAAAACGAGGATAAAATGAGATTACAATAGTTGTCTGACTGGGCCTGATCCTACAATGTTAGAAGAATAAATGCAGGACTTAAAAATATTTAAAAATATATTGCATTTATAAAAACGAGGATTTGGGATTAAATAGGATACTTAGTATACGTATAATTGTTAAATTTAAAAAGGGTCCCAAAGAAAATGTCATAAGTCACAATCACTTTTTAGAATCAAATTGGCTTACGAATTAACAGAGAACGAAATAAAACGGATCAATACTAGCGTAGATATAGAGTATCGATTATCGAATTTCATTGGTCTTGTAAAAATAATAAATCCCAAAATAAAACAAATTCTTAGCAGATGTATTTCAAAAGGCAGGACGGCAACCCTGGGTTGGTGAAAGAAGCAACAATTCCCATGAACGTGCATAGCCCTCCTAAACAGCTGATGCGGCTAGAAAGAATAAAAAAGCTAATCAAAACAAAAACGAAAAAATTTCAACATTCCACAAATCGAATAAAAGCAACATTGTTAAAATGTTAAAAACGAATTTAATTTAAAGTAACCGTAAGGATACAGTCATTTGACGCCAAATCGAATAACGGACTAACATAGTAAGTGCCCAAAAATTACGAAACGAATCCATGACGAAATATTAAGAGTATGGACACGCCATAGAATTGCTGACTTGGTGATGACTTAAAGGGGCAAAGTGCAAAGATCTGTTTCAATCGCACCTACTATCGCAGGGAATCTCAGTCCGACTAATACTTAACGGTGAGTGCAACAGGTGGGCGTGAAAATCCGCTGGGAAGGCAGGAAAGCCGAAGCAATTTCGTTGGCCCCAATTCAATTTTCAGCAGCTGGTGCACTCAATTTGTGTCAAGGGAAGGAGAGATGACCAAGTGCATGACGCATTGGCTCCTCTTAGTTGGTCTTGTTTGCCCACCACGTCAGGATGAGTCTCTGCCATCAAGTGGGTTTCTAGAAAAATCTAGATTTTATAGAAAAATAACAATAAACATCAGTGCATTTTTGGGTATTGAATATACGTTAATAAGTGATTTCAAACCTATAAGGATTCCATTATCCTTTCAGTTTTAGACTAATTAGAAAATTTAATTCATTCGGTCATGAGATAGGTCACGTACATGAGAATGCCTCTCAACTTCTTAAAAAGGGATCATTGGTTTTTTAAACTTAAAATTACTCTCCAAGCAACGACCAAAATCCGTAATAGTATCTGAAATTTGTATTCCCTTCCTTAGATATTGAAATCCATAATGGCGGAGGAGAGCGAATTCTTGGAGGCCTATTCCGGAATTAAAGAAGCCTATAAAGCGGCCATGGCTCAGGTGGAGTTGGCCATTGGCCGCGAGGAGCAGGAATCTCAACGAGAGGCTATCGAGGCCTACGAGGTGGCCCTAAAAATGATAGAAGACACTTTCGCGATTCCAGTTGGTCTTCCTGATGAGTTTGACGCCGTGCTGACCGAGTGGAACGATGCCTGTGCTTTGATACAAAAACTGAAAAGCGCTAAAACGGAAGTCAGCTACCGATTAAAGGGCCTGAGGTCCCAGAACCAACCCGTTGATGATTCGGCACAGGAAGCTACAGAGGAGAGAAGAACTGAAGTGGACGCCAAGAGGCCTATGCTGGCAGAGAACCCCTCCACCTATTACGATATATCCAACGCTAGTGGAAGGCCAAAAACTTACAGGGAGCTCGCGGCCGGGTTGAGGGAGCTTTTGGCTGTTCCGGACTCCCATGCTTTGCTGGATGAACTCTTCCGCGCCCAGGTCAAAATGTACCGCATTGAGGCCAATGGATCGGTTACCTCCATAAGCGGATCGTCGACAATGTCGCTGGTCATGTGCACCGTGGGTGGACAATGGAAGTACCTGAGTGGTATCTACTTCATCCAATGCTCGATGCCCAATGAAGAGAGTGGGATGATTTGGCTTTATCCCCTGGTTCCCTCGATCTCCAACTGCTACCGCACTGAGTACGGAGCCTTTATCTTTCCGGATATGGAGTGCCAACAGCCTGGAAACGCTTTTGGTTTGATCCTAACGAAGGAAGCCCAGCCTTCCCCGAGCTCGGAGGAAGAACTGGAGGACCTGCAGCAGTTCTTCCTCGACTTGTTAGAGGCTGTACTTGCCGGTACCGTGGAGCAGTTGAAGTCTCCGACCTCCCAACGTGCTGGCTTCGCTCCTGATACCGTTTCAGGTTCAGAGCAGGTGTCCAGACACATTGTTAGTGCGGCTGACTTCATTGCTCGTAATGTGGTGAAGGGAGCCGAGAAGACCGGAGGCCTTATGCTAAGGGGTACGCCGTATCTCATTTCCAAGATGACGCCAGCCTCGGCCGATGCTCCCACCCAGGTGCCCAGCTCAGTCCAGACTTCAGGTAAGGATAAATTAAATGTTTTGATAAAGAAATACTATATAAGGCAAAGAAGTGTACATTTCTCAGACATCTCTCTTTAAATATCAGTATAATACAATATGAGGCAATGTTCTGGTTTAGAATACTAACTAACCATCCATACTAACTCGTTTATTCGGCCTAGTTGAAGTGGCCCAAAAAGTTACGCATGCCGCGGCCGGAATGACAGGGTGGATAGCCGGAAAGGTATGCAGTGCGTCAGTGACTGTGGGTCGCTTTCTGGCTCCCCACATCCAGGAGCAGGGATCTAAGTTGCTGGAGAAGGGATTCGGCTACGAAAGCAGCGAGGCCAACAGCACCATGGAGGGGGCCATGACTATTGCAGCCGGAGCAGTCGAAGGTGTCAGCACCGTGTTCGATGGCCTCGAGACATCGGCCAAGATCCTGGGCTGCAGCCTCAGCGAAAACTCTGTCAAAATAATTGAACACAAGTACGTTTTCAAGGATGTTTTAAGCTAAATACGGGGCATTGTTTTTAATGGATATTTACCATTTCAGATACGGACAGCCGGCTGGAAATCTTGCACAGGAAACCTTTGACACGGTGGGCAATGTGTTCGTGGTCAGCCAGAACGTAAACTACATTACTCCTAAGGGAATCGCCAAGAAAATGGTCAAGCGTACCGGAGAAGCCGTGGTCAGCGACTACAAGTGCGACCTACGCAAGTCGAAATCTCATTACATAAATGCCGGAGCTCTGTATCCGGATCTTCGAGCCTTGAAGGAATGAGTGCCCACACCAAAGAAGTTATCCATATATTTAATAATTGATATTGAAATACTGATATGCCATTTTAAGATTTTATAATGCTTTTATAGGCAATGTAACCATAAAATCTCATGCTTTAAAGTTTAAACTTAACTCATATTTACGCATAGGGTTCTGCCCAACGGATATTCTTACTATAAAACTTATTTTGGTGTGACCTGTTAAGATTAAAATTAAATTATTCAAAAACATTTTTTGACTAACTTGAGTGTAACAGTACTGAATACTGATCTATAATATTATAAAGAGGGAAAACATCTCTCCTAAGGAGGACCAAATCACAAGTCGGGAGACTTTAAATTTTAAATGATAATAGTAAATGCAGAATTTAAGAGCACGTTTTCTAATTTTTCTAATTCGTGATGACAGTTTTCAAATATAGTGCAAGAGACTTCTTGATGCGCCAAACAAAAAAAGAAGTTCCAAAGATTGGAGTAGAAATTAAGGGATTAAGCTCACAGCCTTATTTTCCGAGGGAGAGAACATGAAATTAAAAGAATTAACAAAAATTGACTGGCAACTTTAAAAGATCGTTCTAAAACGGACATCATGGAAAATGAATAGGAGCTTTATTATTATTATACATTGTAAGCGTCGAGGGTTAATATGACAAAGGCTTATTCTAAACGATTTTTTAACGTCAATTACTTCAACGAATGCCTAAAAATGCTTTTATAAGTTACGAGCACAGCCCCTTGATTTTCAAATCTTTAGATGTAGAAGGCAATGAGGCACTTCCTCACAACCTCTTATTAAACCGTCTTTTGAGCTTGGTGGGCGTAAGAGTGGATAATGGTACCACCATAAGGTGCGCTGGCATCTAAAGATTATACATACTAAATTTCAACTTTCTAGCTCTAATAGTTCCTGAGATTTCAAAGACTTTAGTTTTTCGTGATTTGTGGGCGTTTGAGAGGGCGATGTTGGCAGGATGCTGATATAAACTTGCGCTGCGTATGGACCTCAAGAATCTTCATGCTTAATCTCAACTTTGTATCTCTTATAGTTCCTGAGATCTCAGCGTTCATAAGGACGGACGGACGGACGGACAGACGAACATGGCTCAATCAACTTGCTTACGTTGGATGCTTACGTTCGTATTCCGCCTATGAACAAGTTCGAACGTGAAATGATACACAACAGATTCTTGATAGAATAGGTAAATATCGTGTAGTGATTGTAATGCTGAGATGTTACTTTGAAAGTTTAAATATATTTTGACTGTTAAGCTTTTTAATTATAACCGGACTGTGCAGTATACAAAATATTCGACCGGACATAAAATGAAACCGTACAAGACTTAAACTAGTTTTTCAAAGATAGAAATACAAAGTTAGATATTTGAATGCTTTTGGTCCACGTAACTATACCCGTTACTCTAAGAGTAAGAGGGTATACTAGATTCGTTGAAAAATATGAAACAGATAGAAGGAAGCGTTTCCGAGCCTTAAAGTATATACATATATTCTTGATCAGGATCAGTAGCGAAGTCGATTGAGCCATGTCCGTCTGTCCGTCCGTTTGAACGCTGAGATCTCAGGAACTATAATTCTTTTTTCTAGAAAAGCTAATATCTCGGTAACTATAAGCGATAGAATGTTTGGATTAAGCATGTAGGTTTCTATGATGCCCCTTATGCAAATTGTTTTTTTCCGAACCCCGCCAACTCTAACGCCCACAAAACCCGAAAAACCAAAAATGCGAAAATCTCGGGAACTATAAATGCTAGACAGTTGCGCTTAGGAATACGTATTTGAAAGATGTCAGTGCAACTTGCCCCTCGTTTTCATCCGGCCACGCCCACTCTAACGCCCACAAACCGCAGAAAACTGTGGCGTCCATAATAATATAGTGTCTTCGTTTGACCTTGTATAACATATTTTTGTCAATATCTATCAATTTACCAAAGATTTGGCAAATCGGAACATTATTTCCATATATATAAAGAAATTTTGGTTATAAGGCCCCACATGGGTAGTGACGTCACTATCAGTTACTCAAAATGCTTTCTCCGACAATAGATATTGGGAATATCTCTAACAAAATGAAAATTTTAAAATTGTGTAAATCAGTAACAGTCTTATAGTTGGTGCACTCGACTATTGCGTTTCCTCTTGTTTTCACGTTTAACTTTCAAAATCTCACCTCGGCTTGTGTCATTACTGTATGAAGATGTTATTGGCTTGGTTGGCATCCTGACTAAATAAACACCAAGCCAGTGTTGTTAAACACCAAACTGAAAGCTGTTAGCTTACGTCGCCACTAAACAGAAGGAGATTCCCCACAAGTCAAACAATTCCGTTAGATTGGATTTGTCGTAATAATAAAATAAATAAATAAATAGATTGTGTTATTTAAAGATTATTTTATTTACAAAGCCATTGGGTTTTATCAAGCAATTCTGATTTTGTTTTGAATGAAATTTAAATTTGGCGCCAAGAAATTGAACATTGAAACATTTTAATAGCAGAATAACAGCTCATTTCGTCACGTCGAACGTACGTCGAACCTTGGTCATTACAGCATTCAGTGTGGTGAGAAACATTTCTAGTACACAACTGTATAGTTTCCGCTAAAATAATGCAAATAATACATTTATCAATTATATTAATAAACATTTAAATAATTAATACTAAGAGATTAATAAAATTAATAAATAATAATTAATAATAAAAAATCACACAAACATCCGCAAAACGTTTTGAATTCTATCCACACTATCTGTACGCTTCTTTCGCCCGCAGCTCTTATGGCAGTTGAGTTAAACTGCTTGTCCCTCGCACATGTTGGAACAGCTGACCTTTTCCCCACACCTTCAAACAGCGCCGTCGAGCAGATTTGCGGGCAGAGCGAATTCTCGCTCTATGCTCCATGTACGAAATAAATGTTTTTTTTTCGTCGAACCGATCGGACGTGAAACGCGCTTGTTCGCTTTTTCGTGATTTCGCCCCTTGGCACGGTAAATAACGCTTGAAAAGCTGGCTAAGTTGTTGATTTCGCGGCCGGAGTCTTGTACATACGTACACATTTTATTTTGCGTACTACGCACCGGGTTTAAAGTTGTATTACACTGGAACCGTGTGGAAAAATTGCACCTGTGCAGTGGAAAATTGTGAATTCAGTCGCGGTCTAATTACTGTGTGTGTGTGTGGGTGAGAGGGAGTCTGCTTGCGTGTGTGAGTGTGTAAGTTGGTGTAGGTGCCGTTTTATTTTCGATTCGATTTTGACGGGAAGTGTAAACGGAAAAGTGAATAATACTCACCAAGTTAAGTTGTTGCACTTACGACACAGAAAAATTGCTTTTCTCGCTCACAAATACCAGTTTAAGCAACTACCACAACTAATACAACAACAACTGCCATAAACGGCCAACAGCTAAACCAAAAGAAAAAGCAAAAGCAACTGCAACAACAACAGTTCTAACAACAGTACACAAACAAACACGTTTTCCGTTTTATTATTCTGCCTCGCGTTTGCTTGTGTGAGTGGGTGATGCTGTGTGTGTGTGTGTACGTGTTGCTCGTCCGAGTATAGAAATTTCTAATGATTTTTGGTTGTGTTCCCGAAAGGCAGCTCCAACAACAACATCAGCACTGGACTCCACAGTGCCTGTTTCATTTCGCATAATTTGCATGTTTCGTTTAATTTTCGGCTGAAGGACAACGGCAGCCGCAGTTTATCCACATAAAATAATATTCAGAGGCAACTAAAAGCAAAACGATCCGAATTCGGCTGGTGAGTAATTTATGTTTGCGGAAAAAATCTAAAATATATGTTAAAAGTTTACTAAACGAACTTTGTGTGGTAAAAAGAAAAAGTAGAACTAAAGAAAAGTAGAACTAAAAACCCAAGCTTATTTAAAAAGTAACGAGTGCTAGCATTTTCTCATTAAAATAGTCACTTAAAGCACATATATCTCCATTAGGGGATAATCTTCTTTAGGCCGGTCGTCACCTTGCAACCCTTGGCTTGATTACCTGATTCAGCAGTAACAGAAAAAGATCGTCGTTAAGACCAGGACTAGGGAGATTGCCTCAATCAGGTTCTTCGGGCGCTTATAGTAGATGTCGGGGGAGGTGTCTTAGAATAAAGGGGCTGAACTAGTGTAGTAAAATCTGTCGATCCATCCAAAATTCTAGCGGCTTTCGCATCTCAAGTCCCAGCTTTTAACATTTCACAAACGTTTCCCCTGACATGCGTTTCTGTGGTGGCTGTGCTTCTCTTATTTTTCCCAACATTTTCACTTTGCATGCCGAAATTTTCTCACCGCTCAAACTGCAGCATTAAGGCGCCTAGTCATTTATTTGATATCATCATTATCGTCATCACCTGAGTCTGAGTCTGAGCCCGAGCCCGAGCTACAGGTTTTTAGCTAATAAGGTAATGGCAAAGAGACGAAAAAAAATGGCTAAATTATAATCGAAAGAAAAAATCCATCATTGGAAAGTTGATTTGATTGCATTTGCGGAATGCAGTTGCCAGGGTTGCCTAGTTGTGCGACAGGGCGACGCATTTTTCGCTAGCTAATATTTCAGGCTTCATGCTTCATTTGCTTTTCGAGCGGCCCAAGTCAACTTTCGGAACAAATCCGCCGGCAAGGGCGATTGGATTCGATTGGATTGGATGGATCGAATGGGATGGGATGCGATGGGATGGTGTGGATTCGGATGTGATAGGAGAAAGGCATTCGAAAGGGCTGAAATGAACCACACACTCATCGACGCTCTCTAAGCTCAGTTACGTAGAGTTTCCGTCTTTTCTTACTTTCAATAATATAATTAATAAACTGTCTTTTGAGTTAGTTAAGTAGATTATGTAATTAAAATTAAGAAAGGGTTATATTCTATAAACTATTTCGTTTACAAGGGAGTACTTAACTTTTGGATTGAATAAATATTTTGGTTAGTACATTTTCAGTCTCCTATCCTCGGAAAGGGAAGTGGTTTTCGAAGGTTTCCCTTAGTAGAGCCACCCACAAACGAAGTAATAAATCGCTCCGGGCGACAGTTGGTATCTCCACTGCAGTTGGCAGTGCGAGCGGAAAATGTTGTGTGGGAGAAGTGACGTGCGGGGCATTACACAATTATCCAAAGCATTTCCCGACCAAATGCAATTTTTCCAGGTCTCTCACGTGAAAATCAATACACTAAAAAGCTAGTTTCGATAGTATTAAAAGTAGTTTCTCGCTAAATATAAATTTAATTTTGTGTATCGCATTTTGTGCATACACAAAACACCCTTTAATATCAACGGAACGTTGAGGGAACTGTAATTTCGTTAAGTGTACTTCTCCTTCCTTCACATTGCTTGTTTTCCTTTCCGTCTGTTTTGTTTATGCTTTTCCCATCTTATTGTTTTTGCGCGCCTCGTGCGTCAATTTATGTGAGCTCAGTTCGCCTGCAAGACGGAAGCGCTTCTTAATGATACAAATAATTGTGGCCGTAGCGACAGCTGGAAAAGCTGAGGCAAAGGGTGCCCCGGTAGCTTTTCGAATTTTCATTCGCCTCCGCTGAAAACTCCGTGGAAAATGGCGCCGCCGCAACTGCCAAAATGCTGCCGCTGCTCAAAACTGGTTTGCCGCATAATTTCCAAAGTTGCAATTTTCATTTTTTATGGCCATTTGTCTTGCAGTTGTTTTAGTCTGTTTTATTTTTTGCTTTTCAGTTGAAAGTGTTTGCAATGCCTGTTGGGGCACATTTGGAGCTGCCCGCTAGTTTTTTTTTGGCTCGCCTAGCTCATTTTGTTTGCCGTTGAGGTAATCAGAATTACATAGAGGAAAACAATTTACCAGCTACTAATAAAATGAAAGACTCTTTGTACCGAGAGATAAGAAAATTGGATTAAGAAATACTAAAACATGCTCTTCATGTCGATGGTCCTATTTATTGAGGTAAAGGTTATTCAAAATAAAAGGATTAACCAAAGTAAAGTCGCTAGATTGGAAATTCGTAGTGTCCTTTAAAATGCAACATTTTAAGGCAGCTTGGGATGGATATTCAGGCTTAACTCTTTCCTTACTGGGCGGCGGTATCCGATTGTATCCGATTTCATAACCATTTCTGGTTTACTCCGGCTCTTTCATAACCCACAAAAAGCACTTGTCACTGCCATCTGCTGCTGGCGACTTCCACTTGGCCACCCAGATGGGCCCAGTTTGGGCTCGCCGTTTACCTGTTCCAGCACCAAACACAAGTGACACTTGTGCAATTATTGTACAAAATGTTATTGCCACTCCTGGAAGCGAGTGTGTGTGTTGGTGTGTGAGTCTGTGTGTGGAAGAACCCTCTTGGACAGGTTGTTCACTGAAACGAATTTTATTTTGTGCCGGACGTCGCTCTGAAACAATGGAGGGTATTTAGTGAAACTGCTCTGTGCGGAGCGGAGCGGTGCGGTGCGGTGGCAGAGCCAGCTTATTAACTTACCTGTTATTTTAACCATTTTCATTTTTCACACGCACGCAGGTCTGAAAATGGAAAATGCGCTTGCCTGTGGATTAGTTCGCCCTCGGTTGGATTTCTTTGTCTGTCCGCTTTGCCGCCTGCCCGCTCCTGCTTTTCTCAATGAGCGGAAATGCCGCAGGGGGTGATTTCTTCTCAGACGTCTATACTTCGATATATTTCAAGCAAAGGAGTAGTTAGTATAATTCTTGATATGAAAGTATTTGGTTGAGTGTAACATGTCTTTCTGAACCCATTTCGGGGCCTAGAAAGGGAAGCAGTTAATGTTCGGCCCCGACTGAATTTCTGATTTAGGGCGCACACAAGTATGCCGAGGTCTTTCCTATCAGATTCTAGTAAATTGATGGCGCCCGATGAGTATTTATTAGTTCGTATTCGTGAGTTTACTCTATAATTAAAATGCAACCTGATTGTTAGGTTGGGTCTGGGTTGATCTGCTTACCATTAAAGCGCGATTAGTTTCGAAGCTTGATTTAATGAACCGCCTTGAGAGAGGAGATTTGTTCGGGTCTTAATGAGTTGGACTGTGTTAGTTTTAATCAGAGCGCAGATCGCATTATTAGCGTCTGCAGAGATTTATAGATTTTCAGATGAGTTTTCCATGTTGTTGCAGGGAAATGGCCAAGTAATAAAATCAGCATTTAGCGAGTCAATGGTTATTTAATTACCGAAAATTGCCCTCAGCAGATTTCCCTAATTTCCATTGCATAATCATTTTCCTTATTGACTCACTTTGTTACCGCCCAACTCCCCACAGCCGATTGTCCAACATGGCTGGCTTTAATTCCAGCAGCCACCCACTCAAAGGATACATTCCTGGCACTTATGTGTGGGAGAGTCGTATATAACCGTCTATATACCGACTTATACGGAATACAAACAGTTGACCTAGCTCCAAGAGCACTGGCAGAATTAATTGCCACAGGCATTTGTTGTGTGTAACGCAGAAGAGTTCAGAGGTTGGCTCTGTTAACGCACAGCAGTGGCCTGTTAGGTGTACATAATGCGAGGGACTGCACTGCGAGATTCTATTTTATTGGGGAATAAATTATATATCTAAATGTTTCGAAAAACCCTGATAGGTAGATCAAATCTAAAAGCGAATTAACCTACGGAATTTACATAACCGTAGGTACGTAATAGCCTTTTAGCCACCCCTAGCAGCGAAGTCCAACCTATCCCAACCCCACCCCTGTTAGCCCTTAACAGCGCCTGTTAACTCTGCGATTTCGGGTGGGAAACAACAGCTGTTGCCTGCTCGGAGGCGTCGCTTTCCGAAGCCGAAAAACGAGTGCAATGAAGTTATGTGCCGCCTCACGGCTCCACACCCTCCACACCCTCCCAGGCCGCCATTGCAACAGAGTCGACAGCTTGTGACCTATATAAAATTGAATTCGCATATAGTCTATGTACTGCTGTACATATTTACCTACAGATATTGCAAAGTTTTAGGAGCCTAACGAATGTCCTGAGTATGCATGGAAATGGCTTTCCATGTTCCTGTGAGCCCAACTTGAGGTCGGGAATCCGTCGGCTGGGGGTCCTATCAGTTGGCCCGAATGCTTTCCGCCCCGGAGAATGGCTCAGTGCTTTTTGTGGACTTAACGCGTCAAGTGGGCTCAGGTTCTGTTCGGAATAAGTGAGGAAAAACTCGTGAATTTTTAATACCTAACGCCAGGCATAAACCAGGTTGATGGCATCCTGTTTTTAAAGGATATAGAAGGGAGGCGGCAATGTTCGTGTATGTGGATACTTTTCCCTTTTGATACCAAGTAAATATTTAGCCTTCCCCCTGCCAGCCCCTGTCTGGGGTTATCTTTGGTCTATATATACTCCTCCCACCTTTGTTTCTGCGATCTCATTTAAATATTGCAATTATTCACACCTTGCAACCTTCAGGCGGCTCTTATCAGGCGTATATATAGCATTTTCGCTTGGCCTGTCCAGCGACCCATTTATGCAAATACGGCGCTTTGATTGCACCTAGAACTGCGCCGCAATCGGATTATATTTGCTTAAGGAACGAAAGACGGAGCTTGATTAGGGCAAACAGAGCAGGCGGACATATGGAGACTAGGTCCATATATAATGCAGCGTCAACGGTTATCAGCAATTATCAGAGGAACGTCAGGTCCTCTATTTGCTTGGCGGCACATCGCCCCAAGCGCTCCTCTCAGGTAAAATAAGACCGTTCTCTGTTTACATTTTCCTAACCAATTAAGTTTTTATTTATGTTTTGTTTTAGGCTTTTGTTAATAATGTCAATATTGTTTCGAG